TCGAGACTCTTGATAACCTCCGTTTTCGTCACCGGTAGTACAACACTCTCACTCGACGGCACTTCTTCGACAAGATTTTCCGCATCGTCGGTACGCGGAAGCTGCTCGTTACTTTCAACTTGAGAATTGGCAGACTCGCCCGGGCCGTCGTCGTAAGAAGCTGCTCGCAAATTCCTCACTGCCTCGACTAGTTGCCGTTCCGTCTTCAATTTCGCATTGTTGATCGCTTTCGATATGCAATCGTTGCTGATCGAGTCCTTCATTTCGTCAATCTCGATCATTGTTCTTTGTGTCCCGACGTCGTTCAAATGGAGAAACACACAGTAGTGTCCATACGTCCGAACTGTTTGACGTATCACTGCATCATTATCGATCGACTGTAAACAACGCTTACTCGCCGCCTATGGCAACGGCGACGAGCGAGCCCAACTCAACTGTTGTGCTTCCACGGCCGCAGTAGGCAACCGTTAAAATGAAACGCCACGTTAAGGTGGGAGAAGGTATCTTGAATTGTGACGCGATTGCGATCGAATTATGCGTGATGTGGCATTTATTTCACTCAAATATCACGATACGACACCTGCCAAGAAATGGGCTCGCGAATAATACGACGGGCTCGTAAAACTCGACATATCCTTGAATTTGCAGCACTTGCCTGAATTTACGAAATTACGGGCACAGATACGATTACGCGCGCTTGAAACGTAGTCAAAGCGTCGCGCCACCGGAATCAATATTCGTGCAGGACACACTGGACCCAACGCGCACCCTGATGGTCTTCTACACGGTGACCGTTTACAAAATCCGCATCGACAACAATGCAACCCTTGAGTCGGAGAACTGGAATACTTGGAGTCCTAGTCGAAACTTCACGAAAGACCACAGTCAGCCTAAGCAAAGAACCGATCTGAGGTTTGTGCGCTCGACGACACCGTGTGCATTGATCGATTATCGCCTCAGATTTTTTCAGCGCTTTTTCCTTTTCACGAGAACAGAAAGCACACAATGAACTTCGGACTGCAAAATAGCAGCAAGTCTTACGGAGAAGATGACGTGAATGTTAGCGAACCCAGCGAGCATACGACCCTCATCGAGCTGATAAAGCTTTTCGAAATTTGCCTCAACGTCACGTAATTCATTCCTTTCTTTCTCCTAAATGAGTTATTCTGTGCAAAAAAAAGTATGATATTAGAACTATTAAAAAATATTGGGTGAGGTTTAATATATGATTATCATAAACGTTGAAAATCCGAAATTTTTTATTACCTGAGTTGAACGTGTGAATAATTCTGCTTTTACTTTGAAAAGTATAATTTTATGCGCAAAATATTTTTTAGGAGCTTTGACAAATCGAAAGAGAATAAATAAAGTTTGATAAAAAAGAAATGTTGAAAAAATAATGTATATTCCGCATATAATAGTGCAATACTTGAAAAAATTTCAGCTCGAATATAACGTACTACCCATTCAGTGACACGACTCAAGTGGGCAAGGAGACAAACGACTTGTCACACGGCATTACCAGCGGAGATATTGATTTGGGAGCTGCATATTTCGACGTGTACTTCGAAGCCGATAAAATGATTGACTTCACTTACCCGATGGTGCGCTTCTAGTGAGTATGAACTCGCCACGTGTCAAATGTGCGAAAATGAGCAGTGCTTTATGTGCACTTTATGTCATCAGCAGGAGCATCTACTTCAAACCGCCCGAAATATCAAACAATATATTCTTACGACCGTTCAGTCCGAAACTATTAGCTTGCGTGATAGTGACGCTCGTATTGGTTGTAGGTGTTATGGAAGTCATTAATTACGTAACACTCTACATCCACTGGAACGAAGACGAGGAACACTTTGGACTTGGGGAAGCGGCACTTTGGTGTTTCAGTATTATGTGCACTCAAGGCAATGAAAGGCCTGATACAATGCACGTGTGCCACGAGAAAAACCATTGTATATGCATACGTGTGCTTTGCAGGCTCTCCGTGGACGCCGAAAACCCGAGCTGGCAAGGCCGTGCTATTGTGCAGTTTGTTCTTCTCCCTGATCATTTACAACTCCTACTCCGGCTTCATCACCTCGATACTTTCGGTCAAGTCCAATACTATTAAGAACGTCACGGATTTCTTCGATTACGGCTACACGCTTGGCTGCAGTAAAAACGACGACCTTTACATTACTGGCGTTAGCTGCCACATACTCTCAAAGTCCTTTCAAGTCTCGCGTCGCTGGATGTTTCGCCAATCGATTTATTCGTTTGATTCGCAGGCCAAAGACGATTTGCGCAATTTTTACATGAAAGCGTTGGAAAGCGATCAGACGAGAGTCCCCGAGAAGGAGGGTCTGGAACGCACATTGAACGGTAGATACGCTTTCTTCATCAGCGAAACGATAGCCAAGCGACTGTTTCACAACGCGCTGAGATTCGAACGTTGCAAAATAGAGGAACTACAGACGGACACCACAAGGGGAGCACTTGCGCTGCCTATTCCACTGAATAGCCCTTACAAAAAAATGATTAATTACGGGTATATGCACAACTACCATGAAGAAAGTACCATAATTATAATAAGACGCCCTTCTTTCTCCCACGGCGCTGCTAAAATCAATGAAAGACAATATAATTATTTTGTGTTTTTTTTCGTTAAACAGCGGAGAAGCTTTACAGATCGAAATATGTATCACGGACATTATAGTTTAGACTATTTTCTGCTCGAAATTTCAATCCTCGCACAGATTTGAAAATACAGCGGTGCTTTTAAACGCTGCTAGAGATTTTCACAAGGGTCAACATTTTCAGCAGAATGACAATCTCAATATGTTTTTAAAAATATTTTTGCCTCTGGAAAATTCGCGTTTTATTTCATTTAAACGTCAGCATCTGTCGCTTTTTATGATATTTCAGAAAACCACGACAAAATGTGTTTGTCTTTGAATTGATTTCAGCATTGCCGTGTGTTATGCGCGTGTACATCACACTCGCATATCCGATGATATTGATCGAATTATTTGTAGGTGATCAGCACTTTGTAAAATGATAAAAATCAGAGCGATTTCAACGCTAAAAAATGATCTTGAATTATGTTACTTTCCCCAATGAGTTCCTCTAATATAAGTTGCGTGTGTCTCGCTGCTTAGCTTGTTACAATTTCATAGGATAATTTTGTTGTATCTTCACCAGGATTCTGCGAATGTGGCAACACGGTATGCTTAACAAGCTGACCGAAAATATAAAGCCACGCCTGCTGAACTGCATGAGCGTGTTAAAGTATAAAAAAGCTCGTTTGAGCGACGTCTACGGAGCATTTTGCATTCTCGTCATTGGCGCCATGTCTGCCTCGATATTATTCTTCATCGAACGTGCTTGGATCAGACGAAGTCGACTAGTCGCTATTCGCCGACGGTTCAATGGTGCTAAACGCACCATCACTCCTACTCCTACTGTGCTGAACGCAATCAGGTATGATAATTTAATTTTCGTATATTCTCCACTTCTTTTTTTGCTGTTCAATTACAGAGTGCCCATGAGAATTCTCGGCTTCAATCGAGAATTGCAAACCGCAACCCATTTGGAATCCACGAAAAATGAGCAATTAGAATTGTTCAGATCTCGAAGTATCAGACGCGTTGAGTTTTCGAAAAAAGCAAATGAAGCACTATTTCCGTATTATCCATGATTGAAAAAAAAGACAACAAATTTTCATGACGACGTCATTGCAGTGCCTAACAGTGAATCTATCGTTGCACGAGGAGTAATAAAACTTGGACGCGTTTTATATCGACATTTTACTTTGAAATTAATTTAATTATATATGACTATGTTTCACAATTTTTTATCTTATATTAGCTCAATGTTCGACGATAATTAATAATTAATAATTTATTTATCATAAATTATTATAAACGAATATCAGAAAGATATATGTCAACATATGAATATTTATAACGTTGTACGACCATGTATTATGATTATACAAACGATAAAACGATAATTAAATAAGGGTAATTGAAGATTTTTTAAATAAGCCATTTTATGTAGGTAATGCAGCGGAAAATGTTTAACTCTAACTCCCATATTTACATCAATAAAATACCACATAGATATTACTAGGCTACGCAAATATGACAATTAGAGAAGATAATTGTACATAATGTTCAAATGCCAGATGCTAACGCATATAGAAAATATTGCAAAGAGAACCGGATAAATAAAGCGATATCAAGAATAAGTGACTCTATAGATTTATCGTTAACTCGAAGGAAGTAAAAATATCAAAATAATAACTAAAATTAAATGCACTACGTTTCAGTTCAACAGCAGATGATAAATTAAAACTCAGAAAAGTATCTGAAAAGTAAATTTCAACTAGATTATTTCTAAATGAACGAAGGAATAATGCAATCGCATTTCCAACTAATTAGCCACGTGAAAGCGCTTCATACTTAAATGATATTACAAAAAGCGCCGAAACGATGGCCAACAATACTGAGAACAACGTACGATTCTACGTTTAGATATTTCACGCGCTTTTCGCGGCGTTCTCAATTAATTTGTATATATTGCCAAAGTGAAACGTTGCATCATGAAAATTGTTGTATTTTCATTGTTCGTGGCGATTGTTATGAATCTGTGCATAGAAATATAAGCAGCGAACGTTGGACGCAGATACAAGATGAGGGTGCTTACGTGGGACGAGATAATTTATAAGCAGATTTTGCGCGCGACATAGATTACAGATATTTGGCTGTAAAGCCGTTTGAACAAGTGCTTTCAGTGAGCTGTAACTGGCCTTAGTGTTCGAAGCAAATGAAGCTTCCAATCTATTTTCGCCGAGTAATCTTTAGTTTCAGCAAGCGCTGCGATATAAATATACATCGCAGCTAAAAATAGTCGAGTTACCACCACTCGCGGACTGAACTGAAATGAGCTCGAGCGCTTGAACAGATGATCGCTTTATTTTTTTATCTGCCGAGCTCAGTGAGGCTTCGCATCTCGGCTGCTCGGCTGCTCGGCTGCTCGGCTGCTCGGCTACTCGGCTGGCTTTGTTGGCCCAAGGCAACGACGACACGCGACATCGCGCGGATATTTAATCGTTGCTGCGCGAGACTCGGACTACTTGTTCATTATTTTCGTCAACGCGTAGTTGCCGTTTGTCGTGCGCGCGTGCGAATATCACTTCTAATGCGCAATAAAAGTGCCAAGGTCGCGCGATCATGCAGTAACGCGTAGAGGCTCGCGCCGAGCCACGAGGGCATATCCAAGTGCTGTACCAACTTGGCAGGTTGTATAGGTTCGCTGGCGATAACCGTTCTGCCGCGTGTACGCGTGTGTTTGCTGCGACTGCGCCTGGATCGCCAAGTTATTTCAGGCGCATTTATCTGACCAACGAACGTCCAGTTATCATCGCAATTCACCGCCAGGCAAGTACAACGTGTAGCGTATGTGCAACTGTTCGAGAATATTATTACCACTGGTTCGATTGAAATGTCATCTGCTACGAGCATGGCTGATAATGAATGTGAACGGCCTACAACAGCAGTGACTAATTATCGCGGATTTTCGATTATTCTCCGACTATCGGAGTAAACTCCACAGTTGCTCACAACCTTACTGCTTACAAGTAAGTCGAATGTAGAGCAACAGTTTTGTTCGTGAAATGCGACGAGTAAATAAAACTTTGATTGTCTGTCATCAGTGCCAGTTTCGAATGACCGATGAGAAGCAGAGCTTTCTCCTTATCAATGGAGCTCAATGAGGCTATTACTCCTCCGACAATGTAAGCATGTACACGAGTGACAAATAAATAGCCGGAACTTGGTTTGTCCATCGAACGCTTTCATCGGATTTCCTCTCCGATAATTGCCAAGTTTTCTCATTGAATTGTCAGAGCCTCTTCCGTTTCAGCTATGACACTAAGGCGTCCAACAAATTTCGCTGTTCAGCGGCACAATGTTACGCGGCCTTTGCCACGAACCTACTCAAGTACTCGTACGGCTCGTTTCTCGGCTTCACAACGATCCTCCTTGCCAAACTTTATCCGCAGATTGACAATGACAATGCGAAGATGAAAATTTCGTTTGGCGAGATCACGTGGTTCGGTAAGTATAACCTACGTACGACCGGTTCCACAGAAAAAATACATCAACTTTTACCAAATCTCAGCGAAGACTCTGCTCCTATCATAGCTTTTTGGCTTTTATGCATCGTACTGCTAAGTTAATCGTGTATACGTTATGCATAGGCAGTACATGCTTCATGATACCAGTGGGCTCGTTGCTAGTCGGTCTATTAGCCCAGAACATCGGCAGTCGATTGACTTTGCTCGTGTCCTCGATTGCCTTCGCCACCTCGTGGACCATATTCTACTACGCGACCAACTCCACAATGCTACTCGGCGCCCAAGCTATTGCTGGATTATTCGTAGCGTCTGCACTCGGACCAGGCGCCACTTACGTCGTCGAAATTAGCCAAACGCATCTGAGAAGTATCCTCATGGCATCTACCAATTTGTCCGCCATGATTGGAGTCTTCTTCACTGTACTCTTGAACAATTTCTTTCACTGGCGAACTATCGTTCTGATCAATCTCGCATTCCCGATCGCTGGATTCTTGGCTGTCTGCACCATTCCCGAAAGTCCACATTGGCTCGCAAGTACGATCTGCAAATAATTGGAAAAGTACTCGATACATTAATCAAGGCATCTGTTCGGCAGGTAAAGGACGTCTGGAGGAAGCTGAAAGTTCCTTGCTGTGGCTTCGCGGCTGGAAAAAGTCCGGTCACAATGACGCTACGCCGGAGTTCATCAGTCTGAAGGAGACTTACGCCAACTCAGCCGACAAAGCCAATGTACCGCTCGTGGCTGCAGCAACGACGAGCAAATCTCATTTCAAAAATATCATCGCCTCCTACTGCCACAGATCGTTTTATCTTCCGTTGCTTTCGATTTCTTACATGTTCGTCGTGCATTCTTGCACGGGCTACAGTGCTTTGCATGCCTTTTGCATCATCATTTTCGACACGATCGAAGCACCGATCGAGAGCAGCGTAGCCGCTTCGATTTTCGACGCGATGCGCATTCTGGGCGCTGTCGTCTGTCTCCTGTCTATCCATTGCGCCGGCAAAAGAAGGCTCATGATCATCTCGCTTCTCGGAGGTGGTTTCTCTTATACGACCATTACGACTCTCCTGTTGCTGAGGCAACGCGACGTGATATCCGATGGCCTTCGGTGGCTCGCTGCTTTTGCCATGATATTCTCGGGCTTCATCACGTCCGCGGGTATCGACAAAATTGTTTTCATGCTCAATGCCGAGTTATTCCCAACGGCTTATCGGAACGTCGGGGCTGGCATCGGCATTTTTGTGCATTCGGTGTGCAGCGCGATTGCCAACAAGCTGTTCCTCTACGTTTTCCACGCGATCACCTTGCCGGGAGTTTTCTTCATATTTGCCGTCTCTTGTTTCGTTTGTTGCGCGACCTTCTACTTTATCTTTCCCGAGACTGAAGGCCGAACGTTGAAAGAAATCGAGGAACATTATGGTGGAACGAGCAGACTGGCAAGATGACGGGAAGACATTAAGAGTTATCAAGTCGGAGCGAGGAACGATTAGCAGTGAAAATTGTTGCGCCTCGTATCGCCGCGAAAACTATTCAAGGTGGACGTCACGTTACTAGTGTATGTCCAAATCATTTTTAATTATTACGTTTGCGCGCGAAACATCTCATTCTGTATCAAGCATGTAAAACTACTTGTAGTTTTAAACTAACTGTAGTCAATATGTTCTAGCTCATTTTTACTGGCATACTCGTGTAAATTATTTGTACATTACAGTTTTTTATACCATTACACTTCATTTTCGATAAAACCATCCAATTCTTCGTTGTTCATAGAAATGCAGACGTATAAAAACTGTGTGATACTGTCTACGATAAGCCACGCCTCTTTATCTTTTCTTAAGCCAGATCATGGCTATCATAGATTAGCTTGCGACCAAACTTAACTAAATGTAAGTTGCATAAGCCAACAAAAAAAGACCGCGTGGATTAAACCAAAGAAAATACGCAAACTATATTGTCTCCTCGAAACATAACATTGTTTCATAATGTAAAAAAGCATTTGTAGTTTATATCTTCTAATATTACAATGGAATAATACAATAAATGTACTTAGTTTTGATACTGTGTTTTCCATAGTTGTTTCTTCAAGTAGATCGCTTTGTTTGCTAAGCAGTGCCTTTTATTACTGTATTAGGTAAAAAGAGGTAAATTTAAATATTAATACATCTGACATCATGTAAATCGATCTCGTGCTCATCCGTGCAAGACAACTGTTCGGTAACAAGGTAATATTCCTTGCCCGTGATGAATCCGCGTAGATTCCAGTGAGAATAAGGCGTGTAAAACATCCGTTGATGCTTGTATTTTTCGAACCTTTCATCAATTTTACCCAAGTCGTATGACTTCAAGCGTTGGCCAGAAGGGTTGTAGATGTAGACACGTAAATCCTGATTTTCGGCAAATGCAATGATGGTTTTATCCGTTGTCTCGTCAATGTCATACGAGACTCTTGAAACTGGCTTTGAATGTGGTACAATGGGTATGCGGATTCGAACACTCCTATCTAAGTTAGAATTAATTTTCTCGCAAATCACCTCGCTATAAGCAGCGATGTCCATCACGAATCTATCGCGAGCTCTGCTGCAAACACCAGTTATTCCAGCCTGTAATATCAGTTTTGATTTACTATAAGAGCGTCATTATAAAAGTACAGCACTGACGATAGCCGCACTATACTACTTGTACCTTCGCGTTGGCCATCGCGTCCACAGGATAATCCACTTGCTTCTCCTTGATAACGTTCATACTAACATCGAGACTTCTGATTGTTGTCACTTTACCCTCCATATTCTGAGCATACAGATAATTATCGCCAACTTTCCGCATATCAAATAAAAATATTCTATGGTCGGTGAGAGTCACCGGTGGAGTAACCTGCGGTGGCACATCATTGACTTTTATACCCTGATTGTCGATTCGGCACGGCGCACAACTTTGCATACTCGGAAAATAAACATCCACGCCCGCGCTATTTACCAGCAATCTCGGGAGAGCAGGTTTCATTCCGACGTTGATGTCAGGAATATCAGCTGGCTTGAGGGTACAATCGTGAGGATTGATGATAAGCAGAGTGTACTTAGTTCTATCCTTGCTATCGACACGCTCGACGTTGTGCTCCCCCACGATATAAATCATCTTATCAGAAGCGTCGACTTTCATCTCTCCGCGAATAAAATCTTTGACAGACTCGATGGTCATATCGCACGGCTTGTGATTGACGTCAGAAGAATTGACACGAACATTAGATTTGTTGATCGACACTGTGTATAGTCGATTATCCATTGTTATATATTTGGTGGTGGATTTTGGCATGGTAATTGTCATATGACGGGAATACTTTGGTTGTTCCAATCTACAGTTTGCCATAGACGCTGCTGCGAACAAGAATACTACGACCGCTGTGAGCTTCGGCATGTTCAACTCGACACTGCCTGTAGGAAATGTCGAAAAAACTCAACTTAATTTTTGTAATGAGAATGCCATCAGAATAATGTCATGTAACTATCAGATTCGTATAACTTTAATCACCATAGGTCATACATTTAATGTAAATTAGTGTAACGGTAATGTACTTACTAATGGAAAACAAAAAAGAATTTTTCTTAATCAGGAAGTTTGGAAGTAAATTTGCAATACGGCAAACTACGAGTTAACAAATTCTTCAATTACAGAGATGCGATATGCTGAAAGAAACGGGAAAATGTTGCCATATCTAAATAAGTTCGAGTCAGTCTAGTCTATGAACTAGGAATTAAATGATGTTCGTTATAAATGATGATGCACATGATCTATCAGTATTTTATAATCGTTGTCGTTTTCGCATTAATGTTTATTGACGTATTACGGAAAACTTGGATTGATTTTACCGCGTAAATTTATATCTTGTTTTTGAAGTCGTCTCTTGCAACGTGACTCCGAGAGAACATTTTTTTTCAACATTAATATTGTTCAACGAAGAAACTTTCTTGGCGCATGATACTTTCTGTTCGACTACTCGAAATATTATTGTGAGCGACTGAAATCAGTTTCCACTTGCGGTCTTTATTTCCTGGTCTTTATTATGTGCAGCTAACGTTCCGATCAATGACGTTAAAGAAGTTCAAAGACGATATCAAGAATACAATATATCTACTGTTTGAAGACAATAACGCTCGTACGTTGTCGATCAAAGCGATAAAAATAATTACGAATGTTAAACTAAGTTACTCTACTATATCGCGATAAACTCAACCCGTAATCTCTGCAGTTATGCCAACGTGAATAATTTTTACGTGTTACTTCCTCGATTAGCTGCGCGCTAATGTTTTAATAGGCGCCTTAAACTTAATCCTCCATACTATCGCAGATATGATAATTGAACATTATTTTTTTTGCCCTAATAATCATAGTAAATTATCATATTACAAATTTCAAATTCTACTATCTGATTTAAATGTTAAATTTTTCTATTATACCGACAGCGTGATAATAATTTTCAATAGATAAAAAAAATCAAAATAAAAACTATTAAAAATACTTTTCGTTATCCAGGATATAACGGTATGATGTAATTTTATAAATTAATAACGTAAAACGAAACGGTTAATTCAAGTTGAAATTTTAGTAGTAAAAATATAATTTATGGTAATAATTGATAAGTAAAGATCATTATAAACATAATAAAGTTAAAAAAAAATAGGCTGTACTGTTATTGTTTTAATATTAAATCATTTTATTGTTTCGTAAAAACAGAAGGATGTGTTTGGAATTGTTCTTATAATCGATAATCTTATGTTCGACCTGTACAGTCGAAAAGATTATTTATAGCAGTTTTCGATTTGATAAATCATGAATTTGGAACACGCGGAGCTTTTTATTTTTCCGCTGTGACATGTGTTTTGTAAAAAAAATTGAAAGATCCAACTTTCAAAAAAATAATTTATGAAAATGAAAATAAGAACGCGCGAGGCGCGTCAGATGTTACAAATAAACATTATAAGGTTGAAGTAAATATGGAAAGAAAATTTGTAGATTAACTCTTGTTCACGAATGCAGTTTTTTCTGACGGTTTACTCGTCGCGAGATCGAGCCTCATCGATATAACGTCGAATAGCTGTTGAGCGAGAATTGAGGATAGATAAGTAAACACCTAACGCACTGTTTCACTGAAGAGTTAGTTTTATTTGACGCTGTAACAGAGACAAGGCGATGACAAAGCTCTTCTGCACACAATCACAACTCCTCGTGAGAAGCCAAATCCCGTTCAACAGTGTCCAGACGTCGCTCGATATCTTCACAGCTGCCCTAGATCCCATTCAGCCTTCGGTCGTAGCCCAGGGGAAGCAGGTGGCGTGACAGTCACCCTAAAGAAAGACGGTGAGATGCCGTCAGAGACACACCGTCGCAGACTCCAGGAGTCCGCATCTTGAAGAGGTTTAAGGGGGTAGCTTGCTATAATCACCACAGAGAGACGAACAACTGACTCGAAAGGCCCGGTGCTTTGACTTTTAAAGCTAGACTGTCATGCGCAAGGAGTAAAACTCACCCAGTAGGAGTCGGTCTTTAGTAATGTTCGAGTTTTTCCAACAACAGCGCCTCTGACTCTCTGATCGAGCATATTTTGAGAATGAAAAGAATTGGGGATTTCGCTTAAATACTATTAAAAAGGTATCAAATGAAAACCATGTAATCTCGTGTATTTTGATTCCCTGAGTACAATGGTACCAGCTAATGTTATGAGAAGTCCCTAGATTTTGTTTAAAACGCAATAGTTTAAACAATTATGAACCTATTGTGTGATTTTGATTTTGGCTAAAACGTAATTTTTTGATAAAATGTACATTTAAAAGGCTTGCAAATTAAAAAATAAACGTATTTGAAACTTTGGGTGTTGATAATTGAAACGGCTTCCGTCTGATTAATCCATTACTGCATTTAGTTAATAGGTAGAGAAAGTCTTAAAGAATAAATTGGTTCTTTAATTTTTGAAAAATATTCCATAGATCCGAAATTATTAACACTCAAAGTTTCAAAAAAATGTCAGTTGTTTCAGAATGCATAACTTTTTAAATATGTATTTTATTAAAAAATTACAACATATCTTTTTTTTTTCTGGATTCAGCGGATCAAATGACGTGTTTGAAACGATCTATTTTTCAAAAATTCGAGAACCAATTTATTCTTTAAGACTTTCTACCAATCAAATTACATTGTTTTATTCTTTACTTCTTTAAAGAATGCAATAATTGAAATTGCATTAATGCACACGATATTATACCTTACTCCCGGGCTATTATATCGTAATTATATATCTTCAATTATCAGCAATTAGATTGAGTCAAGCTACTCTACTGAAGATATTATAAATTACTCATATGAAACATCAAGAAGATACAAACTGTACATTACTGAATTGTACGTGCCTCCATTCAAATGCGACAGTTTTCGAATGCAGAGAGCACAGAGACCAATGTTATATAAATATCTTACACCATAGACTTAATAAAGTCGGAGAACAAAATGATCGCGGCCTTACAAAAATCATTAAAATGTGCGCTGGCATCTTCATCTCGTCGTCGATAGTTGCTAAGATATTTCATTTCAACGGCTATCGACTATTTTCATCCGAACGAAAAGAAAGTTTCAAAGAATATTGCAGAGAAAGTTTATGAATAACATACTTGAAAAAACTTAGGAAATACACGACCGAAACGAGACAAAAAGACTCACAGTCCGATTGAAGAACATAGACTATTTGGTGAAAATGTGACATGGAAACAAAACTGAACTTTATTGTACATAGTAGTTTATAAGTGTGATATCAATCTTTGCAAAGGCCAGGAGAACATTCATAACGATATTGCAATAACGAAGTAGTTTGATGAAAAATTGTCAGAAAGGTTTTCTTTCTAATTTTTCTCTTAGAATTAATTGCTGCCGTTAGTTTTTCAAAAACACTATTACAATCGTCGGTAATTTGTTAAAATAACATTATCTAAACAAATGAAAATAGTAAAAGAAAAACACGAATATCTTTTTTAGCTACGCCATGGATGGCATTGTTAGTTTGAGGCTGCCTAGCCTATAGATTTGGCGAAGTATTAACGAGTTAATAAAGCTGTTCGTTTGATATCCGCACGAGACCTAGGCGACGTATTTGGTATAGGGGAGCAGTGCAAAGATGAGTGGTTTGGCCTCTATTGCTATGACACCGACTGCTCTCGATTGGCTTATCGTCGTAGTCCACTAAAGCAGCGATGATCGTTCAGTTGTCACATGGAATGCTAATTTCTTTGCTGCGATTTAGCTTGATTATAGGCTCGCCGAACACTGACTGGCAAGCCCTTCATTCTAGTAGTATTTTTGTAAATGGACTAATTAGAGCTACACGATACATGCCCGTACGTGCAAACTCGACAAAAATTATTCGTCAAATTTTCTATAAATGTTTGATGAAATTGATGTTGATGGTGAACGAAGGAAAACACGAAATGAAACTTGGTATGATCTTCTATTATACACTTTATTGTTTGAAGTTACACAGAATAGAATTAGAAAATTGGATTATCAAATGATAACAAACTGATTGTCACTGTCTGATGTACAGTATGCATATTGATATCTCTTGCGTAGGAGAGCGCATGCATGCACGACTAAAATGTACAAAAATTCGCATGCATCCCGAATACGTATGCGTCAATAGAATAATAACAGGCACACGCGTGTATTGCAAGTAATGGAAAAAAAGACAGGGCAGACATTTACAATATCAAGGAGGCGTACTTGGTACACCTGACCACCTGATGAGAGTCTATCGTGCCAGGTTTCTTCATTTCCGTGGTATAGAGACAGAAATACGGGCTGTTAAAGTACTGGCTGTCCAACTCGATGTACTGATACTTGCGATCGATTTTGCCGAAGTCAAAGGTTCTGCGCACGTGGCCTTCCTTGTCGAACACGTAGGAGATAAGTCGATGGGCTCTGTCCTTTTGCTTGGGCGTCTGCACCACGGTGACGATCAGCTGGCCGTCGGCTGACAACTGTAGCGACACTCGATGGGCGTAGTGGTCGTCTATCAGGGGCAGTGGCTTCAAGTAGCGGAGCTCGAAGAACTCGTTGAATTGACCGCAGTAGACCAGGGGGCTACCGACGCCGTAGCAGAAGTTGATGTAGGTGTTGACACCTTTGCCAGACTGCAATATCGATCGTTACGTGAGCAAGTGGATCGACGACACCCCTGACTACTTCGATCCTGGCATGCGTATAGCGCGCGCACGTGCGAACATGCAATGACCATTCTAAAGCTCCAAATGCGCCACTCTAGCACGCGTTGCGTCGTGCATCGAGTGGAGTATTAGTTCTACAAGAGTCAAGCTTATCAACTACAGATCACAAATGTTACGAAACTTTCTGCTGCTGCGGTAGAGTTATGCTTGTGTCCACAGCGTACGGCTGCCGCATGCCGTTTTCTTTCAGCGTTCTGAAGCTAACGATACTCTGTAATGCATGATTTTTTCATCGCTCTCATTCTCCTCCCTTTCGATGATGTATTATCATTAATTTGTCCCTAGGTTCGTCTCGTTAACATCAACATTACCAAACTACTATGCGATCGAACGATAAGCGCAACGAAAGTCGTACGTGAATCTCTCGTCCCAGAACAAATGAGCAAATGGATGCTTGTAGTCGTGTAAATCTAGTTTTGTTATTTCGGCAAAAGACCTCGCGTTAAATACGAAGAAAACAATGACGTGTACAGTCGTTTAGCTGGAAACCCACTGGAATCTAAATTTTCATTCGGCACAAAGGTTCCTAGGATTTTCATACGCGAACGTCAGAAAATGACCATTGAACACTTTGAGCTAGCCCAACGTTCTGAGCACTGCGATAACTTAGCAACTAAAAACGCCGTACAACTTGTTTTCATATTTTGTACGAGGACTTTTCTAACAATGACATTTAGCAGCATAGACGAAAAGTTGTGATAGCTATCGAAGAGAAAAGAAAATGTCAGTGGGGCACGTATAAACATTGGGAGTTGAGCTAGACACGCGTGAGCAGAGAAAATTGGTGTGCAAGTACGAACCACAGTGGCAGCGAGCACGTCCATGGTGTGATTGAGGAGCCTTGGCAGCCTGTCGAACGACTTCCTGTAGTCGCTGTAGTCCCGCCTGAGGTACTTGATGATGGACGATCTGTTGGGAAAGTTGCTGACGTAGATGTAGGGAACGTCGGAGACGTCGTTGGACCAAAGCAAGAAGGGCATAGTCGGGGGCGCCGCGTCAGTGCGTATCTGGCCGATGGACTCGATCCTGTTGCCGCCGTAGTCGAACTCGCACGGCGCGCACTTCTTCAAGCTCGGCAGGAAGAACTTGATCCTGTCGACGTAGGCGAACATGTGCAGCGGCAGCGACGGGTAGGAGCTGGGCACGCCGTCCGGCGGCAAGGCGAAGGCCTTGTATCCGCGAATGAGGTTGCGCGGGTAAATGAGCAGCACCGTGTAGTGGGTGCGCCTGAAGCCCTCGACGATGTCGGTGGTGTTGACGCCCCAGAGCACGATCGTGTGCGAGCCAGCCCTGCCTTGGATGCGACCGTTGATGCGATCCTTCGGATCCAGCTTGATCAGTCGGTCGTTGAACGTGCGGTTGTTCATGTCCATGCCGTAGTAGTGGATGTGCGTGTCGTTGACCGTGATCGAGTAGAGCGAGTCCGGGTCCCAGGCGAACTCCCGATACGGTATTATCACCGTCTTCGTCTCGTTGATCTCCAGGTAGTGCGTGAGACTGGGCACTCGCCATTCTTGGGCGGTGGCAGCGCTTACCGCCCAGCTCAGCGCGCACAGCACCCTCAACTTCCACATGGCGCGCGCGAGTCGGTCCTGCAACAAAGTCAGCTCTGTCGCTTGTGGTGCGCGCGCGGGGCCGCGCTTTGCGCTCGAGCGGCGAGCCGCCCGCGCACTTCCCGTCATCATTTTATTAACTTGAAATTGCTTCGCGTCGCCCGTTGCATCTGGCTCGCTCGAGCGCTCGGCTGGGCTCGGCTTCCTCCTCGGGACGGCGGCCGCGCGAGGCGAGCCAGCGACCAGCGTTCGCGCGTCACTCACCTGTGCGATCAACGTCGAGAGGCTAACGCGCCAGAGGCCGGCCGCACACAGCTTGCGCGCGCTCGGGACGAGCGCCTGGCACCAAGTGATCGCTCCGTCCTCTATATTCGCCGGATACGACTTCGCCGCAGGGGCGCTCGTCATTAGCCGCGTGCAATTTTCGAAGCCCTCTCTCGTCGCACTTGCGCCTACCTTCGCCCAAGTGCGCCCGCGTTTTTCAAATTTAGAACGAGGGCTATGGGCCCCATCCGCGCCTCGGTGGACCGTCGTGTCGTGGCGGTCGTTCAACGATTACTTTCCGCGAGAGAGGCATTTGCTCTTCGATTAAAGTCACGCGGCTTCGCGAGAGTCCAGTGTGCACGTCTCCTTACGTTGTTTCGCTGCTATGGCTATAATTGCCTGGACTCTTACTCGTTTGCAACAAGGTTACCAAACCTCTTCTTGATTGAAGCAAACGATTACTTCTCTCGAGCAGTCGGTTATTCAATTGATGCTACGGATTTCTCGAATCACTTCGAGCGATGGTCGTGATTTCATTTTTTTTTCTTCGACATTTTTCGACTACATACCGATGAGTCGTGAATACTGTTTTTTCGTGATCTTTCCATCGCTTAATTCGATTTTTCAAACTATTCTCTGGTTATTCGATGTAGCTCGATCGAATACCGGTGCAAATTTTCACGAATAAAAAGTGAAGGAAAAAATAAGAAGCTTTATTTGACGTCAAAAAACCTTTATAGAGCGAGCATACTGCAAGCAGGGATACTCCACGCACTCTTGGCTCTATGAGCGTTTACTATGCCAAGGCTCGTCACTTGTTGTAATGGTATATAGTAATAGGCCTACTTGACAAAATATGTCTTTGTATTTGCATAGTGCTCTTTCCTGTTTAGACAATCCTTATCAATTTAATCGAAGCGAGCCCCTCGCGTTGAGTTAACAAATAGCATTTTATCATTCCGTCGACAAAATTCAATAATTCAATTATTTTAAGGGTGCACACTTTTGACTTTTCGATTTTATTATTACTTTCAGATGTGACAAACTGCGTAATTTAGACGACCCATATAATTATGAAAATATCCAACCACACTTCTCATATAACAAAAATAATTATACACGCCAAATCTTTTATATAATGAAATCAAATAACCTTATATAAAAGTTAAGCAATAACAACATTTTCTCGCGTAATAAGCCATTTCTGGGACATTAAACAGCTCAGCTTAATTAAAATAAATTTTTTCTTCTATTACCATTTGAAATGCAAGACATTCGCATATTCAGACCAATTTAATGAAAATACTCGATAACAATCAACGATTACTACGATCTTACGAGTTCATCCCAAAATCAGGTGTTTCGTCCTCATTAGAATAGCACATAGATATACAACAAATATGAATTATATCACGAGACTGGTTAGACACGAATAGTTTGATAGGAAATCCCGATAAAGACATAGTGAGACCCAGTACAGCCATTTACGGTATCTATATTTTAATTCCCTTACATTGTACAATATGATGATCGTCCATGAGTTTATTGCTACGTTTAATGGAAAATACACTTGATTAGCAAAAGCAAGCAACAAGTTTCAATTAGATCTGCTTCTACATCCATGAATATCCTAAATTTGACTTAAAACAAGGAAACTTCAATGATGCAGATTGCACGCGGAAATTCTAATGCATTATTATTAATGCGATTAGCAGCAGATTTTTTATTTTTTCACCGTTCCGCAGATATCCGTCTGTCGAACGATTGAAATATTTGTTGAATAAGCAGTCGAAAGTATTATTTGTTTAGCCCGTCCAAATGGCGCGGCAGGAATAGCCAGGGACATATCAATCAATTGTTATTCCGCGGCGAAACCCAGTCCGACAACTATTCCGAATTTCACAGAGAGAGAGAGAGAGAGTTCAAGTTAGAGAGGGAGAGAGCGCGACCATGGTAAGGCTGTGCCGTCGATTCCACGTAGTGACCCTCGCAACTCGACAGTCCGAACAGTGTGCTGAGAATATATATAAGAAGAGAAATCCGCGGTTCGTTAGAGTCAGTGATCAAGTTGGACGCAAGTCGTTGCGACTTCTCACGGTAGAGTTTACCAAGGCGACCGGCCAGTCTTGCCTCGATAGGTCATCGATAACCACCATCGTTCACTGAGTACATTTCAGCTTGTATTCAATAGCACTAAATGCGAGTCGATTTTTACCGTGATACTATGTCATTCATGGTTTCAGTTAAATTTTTTTAAATTTGTTGCTTGGATCGCGTTAATTGATTCGCATTATCCAATCATGATTAAAATGTGGTTTTTCCTAATTCGCTTGCATCTTTCCAACGATACAGTTTCACTTGGAACTGACATCAATTAAGCAATTAATTCGACTTTTATTTTTCTAGGTGACGAGACTGTCAAGATTTCTTTATTTTTCTGTGAATCATTATGACGCAAGCGATCGCCGCTGGCGCACTGATTCTGTGCGCAAGCGTCTTTCTGAGAGTGTCGTGCTCCTTGGAAAAAGCAATTATTGTTCGCAATCTGACAATTAGTGCCGCTAACGCATCGATAGTGCCATTCAACGGGCAGTTGTACGAAATAACGAAAAATCAATCGCACATCCACATCAACTCGACAGACAGTAATTACGAGCCATGCGACATCGCCATCGATCCCGCCAGAGACGTCTTTAGTAGCAACGTGGAGGTGAGGTCGACGGAAGATGAGTTCTTCGTCATGGGGATACAGAGCATCAATAAAACGCAAATCGATGAATACAGCATCAATTATCAGTACAATTACACAATATTGAGAGTTGATCCAATAGCCTGCACCTACCAGTCAGTTTTCATTCCCGAGATCATTGATGATTACAAAGGGGATTACGATTTGCCGACGGTAGTAGGCCATCGGACGGGTAATGATTTTTTTTTTCCTCATCTGAAAAGCTGCGCACCCTGCCGAGTTAATAGCCTGGGCTCGATTAGCGAATCTACGCCGCAAATTCCACGCGAAAATCCTTCGCCTAGAAGTTCTCTTTTTGAGCACTACCGCGTGCAATACGTAGAGCCGATCTGCGCCTACTTCTACGTCTACGATGCTCATGATTATGCTGATAATGCTCAAATAATAAAGTTGAAACTTCTTGACAGCAGTAACTTCAACACTTTGAAGGAAAGAAACATCGATTTCTCGGTTGATGCTGTTTCCAAGCAAAAGGTAATGGGTCAACGAGCTGTACTTTTCCATGATTTTATTCCCAATTTTACTTTGTATTATTCGCGCACATTACGACTGATGAACGTGTTTCATTGTTTCTCTTCCTACAGAAATCTATTGGATATTTAGGTGTCTGTACCAAGGTTCGCGACGAGCATTTTGCCGACGGAAACGCTTACACCGAAGTCCGTTGCGACAGGCTCAACTCGAATTTGGACACAGCGAGCACTATTAGGATCCACGTAGGACGCCGTTCAGCCGACGTTTCCAGTGTTTCGTATGAGTTTGACAAAGAAGGAAACTCTTACATTAGTTTCGCCGAGTACTCGAAGCTCCGACTTCATATTCACGACAAGACTGGCCAACTCATTAAGGCTATTGACGCGGGAGAAGTTGATCGTAGATTCGACGAACACCCTAATTTTGATCCTAATTTTTTCACCCCATACGCTGACTGGGATGCGAATGGATTTCTCCTTAACGACCAGTATTGCATTGTTATCGAACAGTCTCCTCGTTCATTTTCAACTCCTCTACGACAAATTAGATGTATCGACGTTAAGGAATACGTGAAACGTTGATTGTGATTTTTTGAGTGATCAATTTTTTCCAGGTGTTTTGTCTCGTCTGAATAAAACTTTATTTTCACTGGCCACGAATTTATTCTTTATATCAATGTAATTTTTAATAACTTGAACATTCTCATATTTTCTTTCGTGCTGATATAAGCGATGAAAGTTTATAAATAGCGCACTGAATCAGAGTAACAAGAATGATTTGAATGAACGTGTTACGAGCCAATCATAAAAAAATGTTAAACTGGAATAAATATAACCTGTTTGATTTTTTTCCGACCATTTATGAAAGTATCTCCACCACCAACTATAGAATTGTCATTCGTGTGGTATTTTTTAAACAGCAATTATCTGCAATGAAAGAGACTGAATTTTTGAATGTATCACGATGAAAAAATGATTATTCCAAGGAAAAGTAAATGACAAAAATACGGAAAACATTGTACAGGAAAAATTTGCAGAAAGTACAGAAACCGCATATCGTACCGCTGTTATTATCATACTTTGAATTTTATTCAAATATATATTTCTTTCATTTGCCGTTGTTGACTTTCGCTTATCTTTGTTTTTGATACTGAGCTTGCCAGCTGAACATGGCACGGATAAGTTTGTTGTATGCGTCACTGTTATAGCGAGCTAGTCGTTCAGTCATAGTTTATATGTCGCTTTTGAAGAGAAAATACACTGGAACTCTGGTAATGATTATGAAATTTTTATTGTTCGATAGCACCTGCCTTTGCATCATTTCGTGTACTTTTAATCCGTGTCATTACATCTGATCGACTAAATTATTATATATATATATAATAAAATTAAGTTGTAAACTTATTTATTTCTCCGAAAAAGAATCAACAACCGTGAAATACTTGTTGCATAAAAAATGGTCGGAGATGAGCCGGAGCACGGTAACGAACACCGTCCCATTCTAACTCTTTTCAGACTATCCAAATTATGGGCTAGTGTTGATTGCCATACTTTGGCCCAACTCCCTTTTCAATTTCGTAATTGTTCGGTCAACAGGCTAGTCATCGTTACAAATCAACATGTCGAGAGCAATTGGATTCGGTGCTCTAATTCTGTGCACAAGTACATTTCTAAGAGCCTCGTGCGACTTGCAGAAAGCAGTAATTAAGCGCAATCTAGTAATCAGCACGGCCAATTCGTCAACTGTGCCGTTGAACGGGCAGCTGTACACGGTGTCGAAAAATCAGTCGCACATCCACATCAACTCGACGGGTAGCAATTACCAAGCGTGCGACATTGCCATAGACGCAACTAGGGATGTGACACAAGGTCGCTTGCAGGTGGCAGCGACCGAGGACGAAATTTTTATCGTGGGAGTGAAAAGTATCTGTGGCGACGATCAATACAAATACACAATATTGAGGCTCGATCCGACGACTTGTAGCTATCAGTCGGCTTCCATTCCCGAGATCAACGACAATAGAGGAGGATACTTCTTCCCGAGAATAGTGAGGCATCGGACTGGCACCGATGTGTTCTTTCCTAGCTTGAAGAGCTGCGCGCCTTGTCGGCTTGATAGCGCCGGCTTGAGAACTCAAGGCTCCACTCCGCAAATACCACGCGAGACTACTTCGCCTGGAATTCCCTTCCACGTTAACTATTTGAACTCGTTGGATGCCTACTTCTACGCCTACAATAGTCACAATTTTTCGGCTTCTATCGAATCGACAACGTTGAAACTGCTCGATGGCAAGGACTTTAGCATCAAGAAGGAAAGGCTTATTGATTTTCCTGTTCATGCAGTTTCAAAGCAAAAGGTAATAAATCATTACTTAATACTTCCTCTGTCGTGATTTTCAATTGCGTTACTCTCTAATCAACTCCCATCGATATATTAAATTTTAAATTTTAACTTAATTTGTAGAAATCCATCCAACTTTTGGGTGTCTGTATCAAGAAATACGATGACTTTATGGCCGACATCAGCGCCTTCACCGAAGTCCGTTGCGACAGGCTTAGCTGTAATTTGGACGCAACAAATACCGTACGAATACCGATAGAACCTCATTCACAGCCGATTTCGAGTATTTCATACGAATTTGATAAGAAAGGCAGGTCGATCATCGGCTTCGCAGAGAATAACAGACTCCGAGCTTACATCCACGACAAAGATGGCAAACTCGTGAAGGCTATCGACGCGGGCGAGATCGATGGCAGGTTTGAACAGTATCCTGATTACGAACCTACGGAATTCGATGCCTACGATTACTGGGATGTTAAAGGATTTCTTCTCGATGACGAGTACTGTATTGTCATCGAACAAGTGACTACCAGTTATTCGACGCCTCTGCATCAAGTTAAATGTTTCACATATTTATAATACATTATATCGCAAATCGTGCAGGGAATGACATGTTATTACTCGTGCATTACGAACTACTCAGTTTTTATTTAAAACTATGATTCATTCGCGGCTTACAGTTTGTCAAGGACACAAAATATTTGCAAATCGTTGGTTAAAGTCCAAGTACGCTATATATGTCCGACACTGATTTAATAAAAAATAATCTGCAATTTATCTTCTAGGTGAATGTTATCTAGTAACGACTTAGTGATACTAATAAGAAGCCTAATCAATCCATTTTCAATCAGCCGAAGAGATCGTTCGGCACACGACTTTATATAATTATCCATGGCAGTGGAGTCGGATATACTTTTCAGACTCATTAAATCGATCAAGCGAGCATTTATCGTCGCATACAGAAACATGCGTATTATCGACAATCAATTTAGATATCGTTCGAGAATTATTTTCCCTATAGTATTTTACTTTGACCTGACAATCGTCGTCAAATTCAATATGCCACCATCGAGTCTCCTGATTTCTTTCTCGTAGCTGAACAGTTCGTACTCTAGCAGTGTAGTGACGTAGAGCTGTCCATACGGATAATTGCCACTAGTCCACGCCAGAAGTCGAAGATTCATAGATTCGACAGTTACTAAGCTGCGGTAGAGATACATCGATCTCGTTTAAGTAATCCATGCCGGACACCAACCATTGATTTTCTCGATCACTTCTAAATTATAGATGGGCTTAGTTGGGGCAGTCTAATGCCAGGATAACGAACATAAGTTGTAGGTATAGTCTGCCAGTTTGTATGTTTCTTCCAGCGTTAAACGGTGTTGCAAACTCATTTTCGTTTCATCGACGACAGTACTACGAGTATAAACGTCTTCGTGTACATAAATTAGCCTAAAATAAAATTTACCATTCAAGGATGCAATCGAAATTGACTTCCTTTTTTCAATTTAGTGTACAAAAATACTTAAACAACTTCTTAGGTAATCAGATCATTCAAACCACCAAACCCCACGGGCAGAAATATTTCGTTAGCGTGAGGATTATTGGAATAAGCCTTGAAACCAGCTTGGTTGGGAGCCTTGACACCGTGTCTGAATACCTGACTTGTTGTAATTGAAATCTATTGAAATTTCGACAAGACCGAACCACTATAGTATTTCGATCGCCAATTCATTTGAGCTTACTCTGCTCGATAATTTCAGCTTTTATAAAATTAGCTATGGTTTAAATAAGCCAGAACAAATATTGTTAGCGATATGATTTTTAATATTTGCATTGCAAGAATATTTTATTATTATTACTAAGATTTTTACTACTATAGCTAGTTAACTTTCAACGTTGTACCAACTTGACTAATGCCAATGTATTAATTTTAACGATCAATTCGTTTTCTGCAAGTTTGAATTATCAACTATATGTTTCATACTTTTCTATACAGAAAATACAGTCAAACAAGAATAAAGAAATGTTTGAAAAGATTAATATAATGTTTATTATAATGTATAAAAATGAAGTAATGCATATTATTATGATTTTCAGTAAAAAAAATAATTTCTTTAACTATCGAGACGATTAAAGACTTATCTTAGTAATTAGCAGCTTCTATTCAGATAATAATAAATTTTGTTATGGAAATATTATTCTTTTTTTAAGACACATACTATATTTAAGGCGATCTTTGTAAGAGTGCCAAATAAAATGAACATCTAACTTATCAGGTTTTATTACTCTAGGTTATATAACTAGGTTAATGGGAAAAAATAATAAAATTTATTCGTTTAAAATTAACGTTGTTGATGCATAATGCCTTAATACGAAGCTAACTGCTGTCTCGATCCGTTGCTTGCGATTGTGAGGTACTGCCGCGTATACGCTTCGCCTAGCTGAAAACGTGCGCGAAAACACGAATGAAACAAGGGATTAGATTTAGATCAAATACAATTTCTTATTGAAAGCGAAGATCGGGTAGATGTCGATAAAGGACAAACATCAAGCGTGATTGGAAAGCAAGAAAAAGAATCGATTTTTTTGCGTCTTTCGATCAGCAATACATCAAAACACAATGTGGCCGAGAGGTTTTACCCACAGTACGCGAGGTGAACCAAACGCACAATTGTGACTACTTGAGAGATAGAGAGAGGGAACCAAAACAATTCAACGCCGCGCTTTATTCACGAGCTAAAGTAATATTTTAGCAGGCGCACGCAATGATAAGCGCACTCACTTGGTGGGCCCCATAATTGGTTCGGTGGAGCGCTAACGCGGCGCTACTGCTGCGCGAACTGGCTCTCTTGGTTTCCTCGGCTTCAGGGGAATAACGCCTGCGGAGTCGGCAATGCACGTCGTCCCTTTAGAGACCCCGGGCGTTCAAATTTCCTGGCTAGTGCGAACACCGACACCTGCGGCACGTAGCACGTCCCCGGACACCCTACTACTTTATCCATACTCGCACGGCCAAAAGCAGGGTGAGACCAGAGCACGAAAAGAGGCTCTAATTGGAGAGAGAGAGAGAGAGAGAGAGAGAGAGAGAGAGAGAGAGCGATGAAAAAGCAGACTATCTTGCTAAAGATGCTATCAGGAACGGAAACCCCCTCAATTTACTTCTACCCTTTTCAAACTTCTACCCTTTTCAAACTTCTACCCATTAACCATTTCTCTCATTAACTCTAACGCAAAAATCTCGAGCAATCACCTGAATGCCCCAATGTTAAAGTTTAAGAAAACATAGACTATGTCTTTTGGTTCTGCCCAATGTTCGCTCATTTACGTTCCTGACTCTCAAGATCTCTAACCAAGCAAAAACTCTCACCCCCATATGACATTACTTTTTCGCTTCAATCTAAACAGTAATGACATTTAAGACGATCTTCTCGACTTCTTTTACGATAGCGATCTCTACTCGTTTTGCATGTTTCGTCCTTTTCTAAGTTTCTGATAATTCTCATTAATCAAATTTTGAAAAATAAAATACACAAAAGAAACAACCGATTCCCTTTCGTAATGATGTTCATGTCCACCTATTTTAGGTGCATGGAGATATTCATTTCTAGTTCTAGATAGAAATATTTTCTGCTCTTTCAAGATTTCAAAATCACCTTCTCTGCACCAAGCGCATGCGCTCAAGCTGTTGATGGTTGGGTACTGGATAGAACGTCTGGGATTCGATTCTCGACTGGGTACCAATGGCTTTCTTCGAAAAGTGCATGGGCCAAGATTAACACTGTGGCTCTGGTGGATCGGATTCCACCTTAAACTGTAGGTCAGGTTGGCACACCCTGGGTACTATAGGGTCCCTGTCTCTCTTTCCGGAGAAGCAAATAAAAGACTATGCTTAAATAGACCTAATGCTTCTCGAGGAGAGCCCTTCTGCCCCACACATATAATGACGAAAATCGCGCTTGTGTATTGAGATATCGGCTCTCAGTTAGAGAACCATCGCCATCTAAAAACTAACTAACTGACCGGATAAGTAAATACCAATATCTCAGAAGCAGAATTAAAGAGGGCTCGCGCGTAATTGCTAGCCATACTGCCTTTTTATCTTACGTCGCGTGCCGCTCTCCACCGTCTCTACGCTACCTAAACTCAACCACTGCCGAATTCTTCTCGTGTCTCCTATCATGGTTTTAACAGAAGTCCGTTCGTTACAAGATTTAGTATTATTGAAGATGAAGTCTGATTTTAAACCGACATAATTTAAAGAAAACTAAATGCGAATTTTGATTTGAAAAATACACACATACACTCACACATATTATACAAATCAAAAGGTTTGCATTGCCAACAGTACAAAATATTATTTATAAATTTTGAAATTATATAATTTTCACTATATTACATTAAGTACACTTGCAGTATTATTTTACATTACAAATAAAAATCATGCTGTAAAAGCACAAATAAAGCTTAATTCTGCATCCACATATCAGATGAAAATTAATAAAAAATTAATTAGCATAAAATATACTACATGACGTAATTGTACATTTGATCATTTGTTAATAATGAGCAGAGTCTTGAGCATATAGCTTTTTTAAATATTTATTTATTCTTAAAATAAAATGTTTTATATAGAATACTTTGGACCAGTTGCTTTCCAATCGAATTTTCTATAGAAAGTTTACGTGCTCAGTAATATCTTCTTTGCTAATAAGTATTGTTTTATGATTTTTGTTCAATTGAAATATTATTATGAGAACATTTAATAAGTTGTGCAGAATCAAATCATACAGAATCAATATTTGTACGCAATGAACTCAGCCGATAAAACCATGCTTATCAAAAGAGTGAGACACATAACTGTTACAGTATTAACTTTGTTATTTAGTGTAGATATGTCTCTTGAAGTAACTGTCTTTTTCTCAGTTATTGATGATACATATAAAAAGAAAACGCAGACTGATTAACAAAGTATTTTCTTGATTAGAAATATGACCGAAAAATTCATTTATTTATCAATCTTCAAATTTATTAGAATCAAAAAACGTACAATTCTCATAATTCCTAATTTTTATGACTATAGCCGAATAAGCAAAAGTATTCTGTTGAATAATATCAATAATCAGTGCAAAAATTGATATAAAATATTTGGTTATCGTCGTAAACTTTCCTAACTGTCATGGATTTCATCATAATAGTAAAAAGATCGAATTACTACCAAGTTGATTTATCTTATCTTTTTATTGAGAAGTTTTAATAAAAGTTGTAGATAATAATTTCGATATAAATAGTCAGTGTTCCAGTATTAGTCGTCATCTCTAATTAATCTTCGTCACGGAAACAAAGGAATTTCTAACTGCTTGGTAAGTGTTGAATTATTCCTAATTGAGTTATTGACTACAGTAAAACGAACTTGAGGTACCTTCGAATGATAATAAAATTTTTACTCATTTGTCTTGACGCCGTTAATTAATTAACTAATACTTTAAATGAAAAAGTCATGATAAAATCAAAAATTTTTATTTTATACAATTAAGTCTATAATTACCACCTTAAGTTCTTAGTTTAGAAATAAAACGTCGTAAATTCGTAGCATCAGAAAATATCATGTTCACAAGTATTTGAACTTACATCTTTCAGTGACTTTAAGGTACGATAATAATAATTCAATTAAAATTCTTTCCGGAGATCGCATTTGTTGGTACGACGATGAATCTGGCTACAATCAGCGTACTGCTGTGCGCAACGGTATTCATAGCAGAATGCGTGCCTGGGGAAAGACCAAAGATATCTCGACATCTGACGGTAACCATGCCGAAATCAACAACTGTAGCGTGCGGCGATGCCCACAAAGGCTCTGATGTATTGTGGACAGTGTCAGTGACCAAATCAAACGTCCGTGTCAACTCTTCCGATCCGAACAACAAGCCATGTGACATTGCCATCGATCCTGGTAACGATTCCATTGAAGGCGAAACGAAAGTTGCCGTGAAAAATAGATTGATGTATATTCTGGGAGAACACGGCGTGAAAAAGGTCGACGGCCAAGACAAAACCAAGTACACTCTGTTGATCGTGAATCTCGACACGTGTAGCCTCGGCAAAGCCGACGTCCCGCTTGCGAAAATGTCGAACTCCCTGCCGGACATGCTGGTCCAAGAGAATAACGTTGATTTATTCTTCTCGCAAATGGACACGTGCGCGCCCTGCCGATTCTCAAACGATGGAAAGAGATCGACGAAGGCGGCACCACAAATCCCAGCGCCGAAACCCAGCAGGGATGGATTTCCATATCCCTTTCGTATGGGCACATTTGGCCGTCATCAATACATCTATGCACAGAACATGGAAGGCAACAAAGCAACTCTGAGGGTACTTGACAACACGAACATGAACGTGTTGAAAGAAACGCAAGTCGACTATCCCGTGGATACCTTAGTCGAAACAAATGCGGCCGACGCTGCGACGGTAGGCATTTGTAGCAAAAAATACGACAACATGCTGATGGACATCAGCGCGTACAAGGAGATCAACTGCGTGGCAATGGACGAAGACTTAGAGACTCGCGCTCCGATTAAAATTACCGTCGAACCGCATTCGCAGCCCATCTCCAGCGTCTCCTACGACGTTGACAAAACCAGCGGCAAAATTTACATTGGCTTCGCCGTCGACCAAAATATTGTCGCTCTGGTTTACGACGACGAAGGGACGCTCATCAAGTCTCACGATCTTGGCAAAATTGACGCCAGATTCGAAAAGTACAAGCGCCAACCGATGTTTTACACACCCTACTCTCACTGGGATGTCAGTGGATTCATCGCGGGCAAGGAATACTGCCTTGTTACGGAACAGCTGTCTTACACGGATGAGCACGAGGTTGATCTACATGATGTCAGGTGTTTCGATACCCTCGAATAATTTTTTACGCTCTTCGCAAGACAAATGCAAATTAGCCGAATAACGAAAGGATAGAATAAACCGATCTTACTGAATATATATACCTCAATTTCATTTTTGTTTTCAACATTTCAAATGCTTGTATAATTTCTACAAGCAATAAGATCTCGATATATCGCATGCACTGAAAATCGAAATGTATCAAAGGGTAGCATTAATATTTTTAAATACTTCTTTTTTTTTGCGTACTTACTTTTGAGCTTGGCGTATTTGTTACATGAATTATTTATTGTGCAACAATAACTGGAAATAAAGTGGCTCTTAAATGTCGAAACGGAAATGAAAATCCATTGCTTATTGTCGGAAGAATAAAATTCCATGAAACAGTCTGTAATCATCGGTAGCATTTGTTTTTTATTGCTCATTGGCCGACAGTCAATGAACAGTCGGTCGATGAGCAATAAGCATCGGTTTTTTAACGCAATCGAAAAGTTCGCGGTCGCCACTGCCTCTCTCACAGAGTCAAGCCGGTGGTCAGCGAAAGCCGAACGTCGGATTTGATCGATCGGAGACTCTAGCGGGAGCCGAAGAAGGAAGCAAAGTCGGCGAGCTGGCAGTCGCACGGCGAGGCGGAGTGCCTAACCCCGCGACTTGGAGCGCAGCGGTGAAACCGACAGGCCAGCGGCTCGCGGAGAAACGCGGACGCATGCAGTCGCCAGCCGGGCCGGCGTCGAAGGAATGCGCCGCCGCGAAAGAGACGGAGGAGGTGGAGCGAGAACGCGACGAGGAGCGAGCAGCGAGCCGCTGCGAGTGGAAGAGTCTGCCGCCGGAGGTTCTCGAGATGATCTTCCGAATGCTGCCGTACAAGGAAATCGCAGCCTCGCTGCGGCTGGTGTCCAGGTGAGTGTGGGCAGGGCCCCTGCCAGTGCGGCGCTCGGTCCGCATCCGTGCACCCATCGACCTTCGGTCGCAGAAAGTGCGCGTCGGTGGCCACGAGCATCCTGAACGCGGCCCTCCTGTCGTCGCGGCCGCGGCTGCGCTCGGTGCAGAGGCGCCTCGAGGCGAGGGCGCTTGGCTGCTCTGACGCGCTCGACCGGTCGACGCTCGCGCGCGCGCGCAACTACCTCGAGTACGCCGACGCCCAGCTGGGGCTGCTGTGGTCGGCAGTCGCGCGCTACACCCATCCGTTCGGCGGCCGCCACCCCAAGTACGGCAGGCTCTGCTTCTACGGCGGCGCGCTCCTCGACGAGCTCGACAGCCTGCTCAGGGTGGCGGTCCGATGTCCTGCCGTGCTGCTCGAAAGGGACGGCCCAGCCGGCTGCATCCTCGACTTCGCCGTCAGGTGCAAGAAGTTCATGAATTACTTCGAGAAGGTCTCCGAGAAGAAGATCAACAAGTGAGTGGCTCGCGTGGCCGGTCGCGAGCAAGCGCAAGCATTCGATCTCGCGGCCAAGCCGACCGTCCGTGCAGAAACAGTCTGATCTCGGGCTGCAAGCCGATCGACATCTTGGACTGCCTGCTGGAGGGTCGCGAGCTGCTGGAGCTGCGCGTGCCGTCGCCGCGCGACGCCGAGCTGCCGACCGCCACGGTCGGCATGAAGCTGCGCTACGTGATGGCGCGCTCGTGGTTCACCTGCCTAGACTTGCCGGAAAGCGAGTCGCGCGAGGACGAAAAGTCGTGGCGCGATCAGCAGCGTTTCATGTACCTCAGGCTCAGGCGACTCGTGAGCAGCTTCAACGAGCATCGGCTCGAGAAGAGGCACTACGAGATGGAGATGCTGATGAGCGTTCGGCATTCGCTGCCGATCCCGAAAGTCCCGACCTGCTCCACTTATACCGGTGAACAACTAGCTTTCATCCGACTCGCGTAGCTTGTGCAGGCTCATTCGGCAAGCACGGCGTTCGTTGGCCGTCTCACTCGATGCCGCTACTCGTTGTTCCAGGCTACGGCGAATACGCTGGCAAATTTTATTACTACGGACACATGAACGAAAGCGCGTTCGAGGGCAAGGTTTTGGATACTTGGAGACGGACCTCGTCGAGGGAGCGGACGAGAAAGAAAGAGCCCGAGGACAGGCCCTCCTACGATCTTGTCATCGACGTCGAATTGCGATGCTCGCCGGAACTTGCTCCGCTTTCGCTCAGGTACTCGCCCTCCCCTCGTTTCAGACCAAAACGTTGCTACGCCAGATCGTCTTTCAAGACGATCGAGGAATAAGCATGTGTCCGCAAAGGTCGATGCTGAAGTACGACGATTTCGACCACCCGACGTGTGCGAGCAGCCGACCGGAGTTCTGCCTGAGCCTCAGCATCGACTGCCCGGCGGCCTTCTACAACAGACTGCCCAATCGCTACGTGTGGGAACTCAACACGTCTCACTACCAAAAACCCTGACTCTCCGCTGCTAGTTTTAATTTTAATTTTTAATTTAATTTAATCGCTTTTCTATTAAGTACTTTTCCCCTCCTGTCCTTTTTTCTTTTTAACTTGCATTTGGAAAACAGTTTTACTCTGTACAACGATCATTTTAATTCTTAGTTTTTATTTATTTTTTAAAATCGAAGCTCTCGTGCCTTTTATTTATATTATTTTTTTTTCTTCTGCTTTTATTCAACAATCGGACTAACCATTTATTTCTAACATTTTGCTTATTTTTTATGCGAACCACGTCTAACGATATTGTATTTAACTCTTTAATAAATCTTTCTCCCAGGTTTTACAAAACAACAATAACAATAGTATACAATAGAAATTTATTTACAACGATATATAAATAATAACAAAGCAAAGTGCGAAATCTAATTCTTAGCAACAAGGCTGTCGCGCTCCTCGTTTTCTTCAAGTTGTTTAAAGGTAGGTTGGTAGTCATTCGACTCCTCGCTTATATTGATTGGCATCCACATCAGATCGTTCAATTTCTTGGACCTTTCTTCCAAAATATTATAAGCAAAGTGATTCAAATAAACTCCTTGCGGCAAAGCTACTCCTTGGAAGCGATACATCCTGTCCGTTTCATCGGACTCGACTTTGTGAATGGCGCTTATAGTTGCTCGACCAATAATACTGGTGTTACCTACCATGGGACCTTTACTTATGTCGATGTGCTCACCAGCACGGTACAGAATTACTGAATTATTCTCGTTCATTTGTGCTATTTCCGGAATTTGCTTAGTTTTATATGGGTTGTCTTGGAACATATCCAGTGCCACCTGTTCGCTGACTTCAAGACGCTCTAGAGGTAGAGCTTCTCTGGTCAATTTTACAAATTGAGCAGATAAGGCACGCAGTTCTGAATTTGTAGGTTTCCAATCTGGCAAGTCCAAAATCACATCGTATACAAAGCTGCCTGAGCGTATATTGGGTCGTGGAAAGCTATAAATGTCAGTTCAATTTTAGTACAATCATTATTGAAAGTAATTATTTGTAATAATAATAAAGAAGTAACAGTATTTTAACATTACTATTCTTAATATGACCAATGAAAAAAGTAATTCCATAAGTTTTTGAGAGTAAAATAGAAGTAAATATTCAAATTAGAGTAACAAGAATGAGTAAAAGTAAAAATTAAATCAACTCAAATTTAAACTTTATTTTAATAATTTCTATAGTGAATAAGGTATTTTTTAAAAGATTGTCGATGAAATTTTGTCCAAAACTTTTACATTTCAAGATAACTTTTCTGCAAATTTTATGTGTAAATGATTACATCAACAACTGCAAATCAAATACATTAAAATTTTGTAACAACTGATAAGATGTACAACATACCTGTGAAGATACAACTGTATATTGTCTTTGAAAGAAGATTCAACCATAGCTCCAAGCAAAAATGAACATGTACGCCAAAAAGCAGAATTCAGTGCCGTTGAGTCTCTTGGCATTTGCATTGTAAGTAGTTTTACTTTGCAGTCTTGAACTAATGGCCTGTGCATATCCCAAGGTTGACCATTGACTAGAGCTAAAGCTGCTGTTTTTTGAATACCTTCTGACATGTGTCGAGCACATTCATCTGGTGTTGACATATTTTTGTTCATTGCTAATTCAATTTCGCTTTCCTCATTGCTAGTTGGTATAAAGTTCACAGATATTTTTTCAACTCGTCCAACATCTCCATGTTGCCGATCCTTCTCATTGTCAAATATGAGGTTTCTTCTTTTTCTCCATTCATCTTTGATTGATGTAGTTGGCTTGGTGGACTTACTCGAGTGTCGAATTTGAGTATAAGCCCGAAGCCCAGCACGGCAAACTCTTGTGAATCTATAATTCATTAATAATAAGTATCAATATATCGATAAAGATTAGGGCGAAAATACGTAGCATGTATGATTAAAAAATTACCCTCGCAACATTGTGAAACTTAATTGGATTCAAAGGTTATATTTGTGGCTTATTGGAATGCACCTAATCGACAGATGAACCATTTGATCTTGCACAACTCAACATTTAATTAACAGCCCATATATTTAAATAGCTAAAATCAATGTAATTATAAATAGTTATGGAATAAATTCATGAAATTCCTCTGATACAAGTAATAATCACTAGCTCGTGTGCTCATAGGGATTCCACCGCGTTAACCTTCGTTTTCGTTCGTTTCGTTCGTTTTCATAAGAAAACATGGAGACTGTACATTATAACAATTGTGCGTTCCTTGTCTAGCCGGCAACGAAGATTTCTAGATATTGATCGAGCCTAGTGCGAAACTTTCGTCATTCAATTTATTTTTATAAAAAAAATATATGTAGTCTTATGATAATTAATAGATGGATCAACTGTTTTCCAAGATGTAAAATACGGAATATAAAAGTAAGTTTTGATTAAGAATTTCGGAAAACGAGAGAGCGGGTCTACAGCGGCCCGTTAGTTCTGCTGGGGGGAAGTTGTGACGACGTAGCATGTTCCTCTGTGTTAAGTTTGCATTACAATTTGTAATAGATAGTCCCTACTTATAATATCTCACACGTATGTTACTCGTCGCTTTGTATATGTATCCGTCAGTGATATTTATTTCGTGGTATTTACACTTCCTATTTCTAAGCACAAAGTTAATAATAGATCAATATGTGGTAACAAATGTATTTGCAAGATTTGCTGTAAGAATGTGCTGAACCGTAAAGCTTTCATTATGAAGACGAACAATAGATAGTAATATGGTTATCAGTAGGTAGGATTGTTTAAGGTTAACGTGCAATTCTCCACGAAACAAGGGACAAGCCTAGTTTTATAAATTCGGCTTCCTACGGCTCCCTCCCCTACAACCGTTCAACTTCCACGAAAAAAGGGAGAGAGCGAGGGAGAAAATTTACGGACAGGTTGCATAACGGAATCAACATACAATCATTTGACAAATTTGATTTTCAGTCCCTAACACGTTAAAGCGATAACGGAAAAAAACAATTTGTCCGAGTTAATTTCCCCACAATAATTTATCTAAACGAAAGATAATGGCTCAATAAAAATTCATTATCAAAACTCGCGAAAGCAAATCGGTAGTCATATGATCATATCGTTCTCAGTATGGTTATAGTTGTTTAAGCTTATCAAACGATATTCTCTAAGGCAGACAACAGGTAGTTTCGGTTGGAGTTGTTCTCCAATAAAACTAGCAGTACAAATACATACATATTACCAGGCATCTTTTGTGAGAGTAAACATAATAATTGATACAACGGTGTATCAAAGTGTAGTCAAAAGAAAAGAAAAATATGAAAGTGTGTGTAATCGGAGCAGGTGCGGCTGGACTTTGCGCTGCACGTCACTTGGCGGCAAACTCGCACAAATTTGAATTGTCAGTGTTCGAAAAATCGTCAGACATTGGCGGCACATGGATTTACACTGATAATGTTGGTCTTGATGATAGTGGTCTTCCTGTGCATTCTAGCATGTATAAAAATCTGAGGTCCGATTGGATAATACTTTTGGGAAACATTAATTACTATCGTTTAAAAAATGATAGGCTTCTTGCTTTCCGCACGAAAAAATCGCATAATGATGTAGAAAAAATAGCGTTAAAGCTTATTGTTTTGCGTGTCAATTGATTTGTCAGCGATCAGTTTAGCTTAAGTAGCAAAGTTGTAACAGCGATCAGAAGGAAAAAAACACGAAATTTTGAGCTACTTTTTACGAAGGCAACTTCATAGACCTGACGTTCTATCAAAAATGAATAGAGTATCCCGAAAAAACTCAGCGCCTAGTTTGAAGCTTCCTGAATGCAATTGTGGTACAATTAAATAAATTAGTTTCTTTATAAAGTGCGATCTTCCAAAAAAATTATCTTCAATGATTTATTCGGTAGACGTCGGATTTGGTATAAATTATTAAGTAATGATTAAACATTATAATTTCCAATTAACAAATTTTTTGAATATTTAAATGCCAATCAGCTAAAGTACCAACTAATTTCAATAGAAACTGCGCTTTTTATGTTCGAGTGTTACAATTTAAACGCAGATATAAATAAGCTCGAGTGCAACGTGATACCAACAGTAGCTTACGTATATCATTTGGTAGCAATCATTCGAAATATTTTTTTGAATAAATAATATGGTGCGAATGGAATTACATGTACGACATTTTAAAAAATTGTAATTTTTCGTTAAGCAATTAATAGAATGTAAATTTGATTAGATCATTGACATTGCACATAAAATTTTTTCTTTTTAACTAGACTGTCAAATGCGTCACTAATACTTTTATTACGTGTCGCTAAATTAAAATACCATTAGTCTGTACTCGTATTCATCATCAAACACAAGAATAATTAATTAACGGCTTTGTACTATAGCATGCTATCAGATGGTTGGGTGGGAGAGCGCAGATTGCCAACTGCAGCCGAGTTTCGAGAAAAGTAGGAGCGCTCCTTCAAATTGAAACCAAGCGAAATTTTTTATTTTCTCTGCAACTAATGCCCAACTCAACGTAATATTAAATTTACAAAATCAATTTTCATATTATCAATTATCGTAATTTCAACGCTTATTAATATCTGTACAATATTTTTGAATATTTCTCGCATAATCCATTAGCAGCTATTCTTGATTATTGTAACAAGTACCGATAATCCTTGAAAATGGTCATTAACAACATATCGAATATTCATTGCAAAAATAAGGTTTCCTTCATTAGTATTGCTATTAAGAGAAAGCTCTCACGATTAGAAAAAATAATGCCTTATATTTTTGAATGTAATACATTGAGAAAGTTTTAACGCAATTTTTTCTACGTCATTGTGAGACTTTTTTTCGCAGAGCTACACTCTTGGAAATTAAGAAGTCTATCGTTTGTTAACCGTTCAAGAATTTCACAATTAGATATTTTACTTTTTATTAGAACAAATTTGCCGAAGGAGATAATGAGCTTTCCAGATTTTCCTGTGATGAAGGGAGAACACAAAAGCTGTGTCTCACATCAAACCGTTCTAAACTACTTAAAAGACTATGCACGGAGATTCAATTTACGACAATACATCGAGGTATAAACAAGAATAACAGTTAATAATTTGTCTTTGCTAGTTCATCGAAAATTTGAATTTGTAGTTGAATACATTAGTGGAGAGCGTCCAATTGGTTCCGTCGACAGAGCAGTGTCATTCGGAAAAATGGAAAGTCAAAGTAAGAAATATCAAGAGCCGGGAAACGAAAGAAGAGGTTTTCGATGCAATCATCGTTTGCAATGGGTAAATGTTGTGAAGTTCCATTTTACGATTAATAACAATTAGCTATAGATGAAACAAAGCCCCTGTGGTAGCCATATCTACGCGTTGAATTTTTTAGTGAAATTATGCAAGTAATTTATTTTGTTTTTTTTTACAGTCATTATTTCGAACCATATATTCCATCGATTCCTGGTATCAGTAATTTTCATGGGCAGATTATCCATAGTCACAAATACAGAACAGCAGAGGCATTTTCTGGCAAAACAGTAATATTACTAGGAGCCTCAAGCTCAGGAATCGATATTGCTTTCGAATTGTCAGGCCATGCGTCACAAGTCTACCTCAGTCACAATAAAGAAAGGTATGTGTTTAATATCACCTTCGAAATCAAATAACTTGCAACATTATTTTTGGATGTTCCAAAAGCTAACAACTTTTTCACTTTTATAAACTGAAATTTGTTTTTTGTTCTTTAAAATGTACCGCGGAGTTGAAAAAAATTTAATCACATTTGAAGGCTAGCAAACGAACGCAACTGTCTGGGATTCAACGAAGTCCGTGGAGTTGAAAAATACGAAGACAAGGCCTTCGTACTGAGAGACGGCGAACGAATAGGAAACGTAGACGTACTGCTGCTTTGCACAGGTTATCAATTTGTGTACCCGTTCCTCGAGGCAAGCTGCGACATCCGCGTGGACGACAATTATGTATCACCGTTGTACAAACACTTGATCAACGTAGAGCATCCGACGATGTGCCTCCTTGGAGTGCCCATGCTTGTTGTGCCTTTTCCCTTGTTTCACGTGCAGGTATCTCATAGTGATTAATTTATATCAAATACAGGTATTTTATAACGATAATTTTTCTTGCAGATCCAATATTTCCTGGCGCTGCTGAAAGAAGAGGCGCGACTACCATCCAAGGCTGTAATGCTAGAGGATGCCAAATTAAAAACACCAAAAAAACGACATGCCCATAAACTTTCCTCAGCCCAATGGGCGTACAACGACGAACTTGCGAGCGCGGGCAATTTCGAAGGCTTGCCCCCTTACTACAGGCTCGGCTACGAGGCATGGCGGCAGAAGGCGATGAGTAATTTGAAGCATTACAAGCAATTCAATCTCGTGGTCGAAGCGGATAAGCTATCAGTGCGCATTGCTGAATGAACATCGCTTTCTATGTATATTGAACCTTCGCATATTGGATTTTCACATTTTCACGTTACGCGCTCTGTATAACCTACAGTGCAATCATATTTGTTTTCAATGAAATTAGAGCAGTAGTTAAATCCCTTTTTCATAAGTCTTATTTCATTTACCGCGGAAATATATCGTAACATTTACAATATAATACATCAAACCACTTACATCGAATAATTTATTTTGTTATCTCGCAAGGAGATTATCTCATCTTCGTATTGTGGATTTTGGATAATCTTTTCACACCTGAATATATAAAAAGACGCATTTATTAATCATACCGTTCTATGTTTTTTTTTTATTAAATTCTGCGAAAATAATTCAGTAATCTGTTACGATTTAAACTGATGACGAGGATAAAATCTGAAAATGTTCATCAATTTAATTTTCTCAACTGTAGTCTTCGAAGATCGTCAAAAACAACAAGACAAATTAATTGTTACATCGCGAAATGACATTGCATCGGTGTTTTCAAACGAAGATAACAACAAAAAGAAGTATATGACGTTCAAAAATAAATTATTAACAAAATTTGTCATACAGTTTATCGAGATGATTGTATATAGCTTTGCATTCGAAGAAAAAAAATGATTTTAGTTAATTTTCGGTAACTCCGGATAACTGCCATCCTCGTAATATTGATAACTTTTGCTGGACGTCTTCAGTTTGATGACACGATAATTCACAGCACGATCGTTTGGCTTGTCAGCGAAATAATTTTGCAGAGCATTGGGCGTCCACCAGAGCCAACCTTCCTCGTCCATAGCAAAAGTATCAGGCCATTGATTTGTTGCCTTGTCTTGATACAAGACTCGTTGGTTTTCCGTGAGACTCCTACTCGACGTCGTGTTGTAATAGCTCACGGCGCTTTTAGTTAGAAGGCCAAAGTACAGCAATCCGTCAGCACTAACTACCATGCCATCAGTTTGCGACGGCTTCCTGCCGACGAGTGTAATGTGTTTATCGACATTTTCCGTAGAAAGCTTACGGCTTTTCAATACGCGCACGGGAACGGAGAATATTTCGTAAGACGACAGAGGAGTGTAATACAGAATTCGATTGCCTGTTGGAGAAATAAAAATTCGTAATTTTCCAATTAGATAATAGAGATACTTGTCGTTATTGAAAATGACCGTTCCTACCGTGCGCACAGGCTGCGGAAAGTGCAATCCCATCCACAGGACCTTCGATCGTCATTACATTATCCTCAAACTTGTACTCGACAGCTTCCTTGGCAGCTCTCATAGATCTATCATGACTAACTTTCCACGATGTTTTGTCCTTCAATGAGAACACGACGATTCCCGGTTTCTCGCTGTCCTGATCGGTAATGTAAGCGTAGCCGCCATCCTCGTGATCCAGCACCAAATCATTGAGAAATACCGAGTCCTTGCTTATCACGTCCTGAGGAAACTCGTAATCTAGCAGAATTTGACCGTCGCTCTCAAGATCAAGAATGACCAATCGCGACGGACACTTGGTTCTCGGATTGTCGGTCCTAAATTCAGTGCGGCCGTTCTCCAACACCCACATGCGACCTTGCGGGTCGATTTCCATGCTCTGCACATATTGAAAGGCCGCGCAGTCGTCTAATTTCTGCATTCGCCAGTTGGGATACGGCTGCAAAAGGGGCGACGATTTCTCGGCGCTTTTCGACAGCACTGCCAGAGTCGCCGGAATACCGCGCTTCCAGCGTGGCAGGCTCAAGTACACGTTGCCCTTGTGGACTTTGATTCCCGTGATCACTGTATTCGCAGGCACGTACGAGCCGTCCTTCACGGCATCCTCGTAAGCCTGCGTCGAAGGCCAGCTGAAGTTCAGGTACTTCCATTCGAACGCAACTTGTTGCGCTTGCAGATGCGACGCGGCCGTCGCTAGCAAAATAGCAATCGACAAGCTGCCAATCGATCGAAATACTACTTTATCGTTTGATTACTTTTGCTCGGGCAAATATGTCGTCTTTTAGCCACGCAATCGGCGAAAAATTGTTCGATGTGAAACAGCAATATGCGCTTCGATGCGAACTTACCTCAACATGATCGCTCGTTTCCCGACGACGAGATGCGAGATGACGAAGACCGAGCGCAGCTCGTTGCTGCTCGTACACCTGCTGTATGTTCGCGCTGTGCCGTTATTTCTCACTGCCGTATTTTACGCAATGTTATGCCAGTTACACTTTGGATTTTATTGCGGAATGATTGCCGATCGCAGCCGACTCAAGGAAAGCGAGTCAGTTTTAAAATAGCGCACTTCTCGTACAACGCAATACGGGTGGCATTGATCGCGCGTAAATGCCGTCGATAGATAAAACAGAGCGGCTTGTTATTGGCGTCGGAGCTACCGCGAAGTTCATTAGTCTGGCGCGCGCTATCAATATATACTCGACAGGCGCAGATAATGCAATTGACAGAGATAAATTCTTGGCTTCTGATAGGACACAGATGTGCGACAAAACCGCGAGAAACGTTGCAGACGCTAATAAAGAAGTTGAACATACACGCGCAGAGGTCGGGCAATGAGTTACATTCGACGCGCAGAAAGTTCTTTATTCGGCAGCTTACACACGGACAAAGCCTTACTCATCCGCGATCGTTGGCAATTCCGGATGAGTGCCATCCTCGAAATACTGATAACTCTTGCCGGAGGCTTCCTTGGCGATCACGCGGTAATTGGGCGAGTCCAAGTCGACGTTGCCGCCGAGGAAGTTCTGCTTGCGATTGCTCGTCCACCAAAGCCAACCTTTGTCGCACATGGAGAACGAGTCGGGCCACTGATTGAGCTCGCTGCTCCGATAGAAGACCCGCCGATCGTCCGCGAAGCTCGACGGCGCCGCCAGAGTGTCGTACTGATCGACCGCGCTTTCGCCAAGCTGACCGTAATACAGGACGCCGGTCGCGCTGATCTGCATGCCGTCGGTCTGCGACGACTTCTTGCCGACGGTCTCGACGTACTCGTCGATCTCGCCGGCGAGGTGGCGGCTTCTCAGCGCGCTCACGGGCAGCGAGAACAGCTCAAAGGACGACAGCGGGGAATAGTAGAGCGTGCGATCGCCTACGAGAACACAGGCGAGACGTTAGGCGGTGCGCTCGGAGGTCGCTCGGTCGTTACCTGAGGCGGACGCCGGCGAGAGCGCGATGCCGTCGACCGCGCCGTCCAGCTGGAAGGTCGTGCCTTCGACGCGGAACTCCCTCGCTTCGTCGCTGCTTCTCATCGATCGCGGGTGCGTCACTTTCCAGGACGTCCGGTTCCGCAGCGAGAACACGATGATGCCCGGATATTCGGCGTCGAAGTCGGTTATGTAAGCCCAGCCGCCGTCCTCGTGATCCAGCACAATGTCGTCGAGGATCACCGAGTCGCGCCTCGCCACGTCAGCGGGAAACTGATAGTCCAGCAGCACTTGGCCGTCGTTCAGGAGATCGAGAATGATCAGTCGGGCTGGACATTTGCTTCTGGGATTGTCGCTCAGAAATTCGGTCCGTCCGTTCTCCAGTATCCACATTCGACTTGCCGGATCGATTTCCATACTCTGCACGTACTGCAGCGCCGAGCAGTCGTCGAGTTTCTGCATGTCCCAGTTGGGATATGGCTCGAGCAGAGGTGTTTTCTGCTCTGTCGTACGTGCGATCGAGACCAGAGTCGCCGGCACGCCATTTTTCCAACGCGGCAGAGTTAAGTAAACTCGATCTCGGTTCACTTTGATACCCGAGATTATGTTGTTCTCGGGGATGTATGATTTATCGCTGACCGCCTGCTCGTAGACATTTGCCGATTGCCAACTGAAGTTTAGGTAATTCCATTCGAATATTATCTCCTGGGCTAAGCTTACAGGCACTAAGCTCGCCAAGAGACAACTTGTTCTGCGAACATTCAAAAGCTTACTGATCTCTCTAGCTTGAATACCTGCACGAAAAATTTTCGTCCTCAACGAAATTGTTCGACATTATGAATTAAAGATTCGAGCATTTTTCCGACACTTTGTCGTTTTCTTCCAATGAGATCGCGACGACCATACATCGATTCTAAACTAAACGAGCGTAGAGCATACGTACCTAAACATTGTGACTGATTTCGCCAACATTTTTCGGACACGCAATTGAAAGTTTTACAAGCGCTTCTGTCTACAACCTCTATCTGATACTTCAAGAGTGCCCGTATTGAACGGTTGCGCGGATTTTTTATAACAAAACCGCACGACCTCATTTGCTTCGACGGAGTCGCAAATAACGATGTGCACTGATGATCTGACCAATTTGTAAGATGATACTGTGTTCCTCGTTAACCACGTTCACGATTCCTGGTGAGCTTACATTTTTTTTTCTGAAAGCTGTCGGGACAGTAGAAAAAAATGAGTTTTGGAAGCAATAACAGGCGTCTGACTGAAACATTGAATCGAGGATAAGCAGCAGGACTAATAGGCTCATGAAAAGAACAACAGCATTGACATATAGGACAACCTTTATTAATGAATCATTCTCTAATTACAATATAATGTTTATAATTGTTATACATCGTTAGTAATAATTATAATCATAATAATAGTTACCGCGTTAATATATGTATATTATTTGTTTTAATATCAATGCATCATAATGCTCATGTAATACCTATACCCTTAATTGTTAGCTCATTTATTATCTCGCTGAAAATTGCGCCGTTTCGAAAAACACACGTAACATACCCACGCATACATGCACATCACGCAGGCAAGCACGCACGGAAAATTGCCCTATCAACAACACTTTCTCTCCCACACCAGTACACGTGTTGCGCGCGCGCGCATACACACACACACACACACGCACACGCACGCATGCACACACACGCACGCGCGCGCGCGCGTCAACTCCAAAATCCTCGGAAAGTGGCACTTGTTTGATTATCTCGCGGCGTATATTGCACTTTTACTTTCATCACAAACAATTTAATTCCGTAACGCACGTCATACGAACCAATCCACGCTATCATTGGCTTTGTATAGCGATTTTGGAGTTGCGTCACCTCGAGAGATTGTGCGCGAGAATCTTTAGTACCGAATCAAGGGAAAACATGCGCGGCTGCGGGTCGTTTCAAAAGAAAGGGCTAGGTGAGAGAGATTCTCTTGCTGGAAAAGTACTTTACAGCTCAAGAGACAAGGACAGAGACTGAGAAGCGACTCTTCGTTGACTTCCGAGGACTTGAGAGCTTCGACGTGTAGACGCGTGTGCTCGCTGTAACTGACTTTTTTTTTTTTTTGTTTTGTTTTGTTTGGTTTTATTTTTTTTTATCCAAACACTTTCTTTTTACCCTTTTCCTCTTCGCCATCCATCGCGATGGCATTTGAAGGGCAAGAAAGCCAATCGCGGCGCTTTTGCTAAACGCATTCGACTTGCCGAGCACGATTTTTCCTTTTTTTTCCTAACTTTATTTTTAATTGAGATTTCAAACTCTCACGAATGTTTCCAAATTTTATTTATTATTTTCTTTTGTTTATTTTGACTTATTATTGTGCGAATCTACCATGTCCATCTGGTCCGCTAACACATTTTGTTGTTCATTCTTTAGTTTGCTAGGTCTAGAAAATATACATTATGTACTTTCCCCTTTTGGCGAATTCCCCTCTCAAGTCTACCTTTCAATTTCGCGCTTGCAAGGAGGGAATCGCGCTACGTTATTATTTTCTTTTTTTTTTCTTTTTGTTTTTGTTTGTTTTTTGTTTTTGCTTAATTGTCAATTAATCACAATGAGCTCGTAAATATCGGCGCGTTTAAATGTATATCGACGTTTTTATCTTTGTCTCATTTCTCTGATTCGCTTTGAAAAATGTTGAAATACCCATTCCCCCGTGAAAGTCATTATTTTCGTTTAAATATCGTTAAAATTATAGCCCTCTAAATGTAACGAACAATGGCACTACACAGTTGATGTTGTTTTTTTATTATTTTTTATTTTTGTTTTCGGAGGGTCGAAGGAACTCGTTCGACCAGCCTTTTACATAAATATCAGTAATAACCTAATAATTAGAGCGACACCCTCGATCGTCATCGGATAACAATCGATTGTGCACATTATACGCGATACATCAATTTGATTAAAATAGTCGTTAATTAATTGTGGATAAAAGTGTGTAAGGCTCAATATATCGGTTGAAAAAGAATCATTTTCAACTATTCGATACATCATTCGCTCATTCTTTTTCTTGTTTTTTTTTTTCTTTTTTTTTTAGAAATCGTTACCCCGGACAGCACCGTAATTGTCGTAACTTTTTCCAACTAGCTTTTTTTTTACATTTTTCAAAAATCATTATTCCTAGTTTTGCGCGTCAAAGGTGCAAACAGACTGGAGAATCTTTTGCGAGAGTCCGAGCTGCTAATTGAAAGTAAGATTTTGAAAGAATAGCTGTTTAATTGGTGAACAGTGATTTAATCGAGTGCGCGTACATCTATTCTATTCTTTCATCTTGCTCAGTTACCCTTTCATACGATTCACGTTTATTAACATTCTATTTACGTCCTTTTGTATATGCTTATTGATCATTTAAGTGTTCCTTTTTTTTAATATTTCAATGTTCAATTCTCTCCAGTGTGGTTTCGCCATCTAATTATCTATATAATCTTAAAGCAGAACACGATTGCTTGCGAAGACAGGTAATAATAAGTCTCTTTTTTATTGTTGTATTCCACATTGGCTGTTCCAGTCTGAATAACTTGAATACTTTTGGGATATAGTGTAGCGTGTTGAAAATGGATTGTGTGTGTAAAATGATAGAGTAAAAGTCAACGAAGTACTGTTATTCATTGATATATGAATTACCGTCTGCAGTCGTTAGTGATCGACAGATGTAATGAAGTACCCAGTCCATTCTAACGACTTATACGTCTTCAACTCGAAATAGTACAATATCAACTAATATTTAATAAGCGACACTTTGTTATAGTTACATCAACTTTCAGTAACAACATTCAGACGTACAAATGAATGAATGTCAGTATTTTTTATCTTTATTTTGATTATTAATTCATTTCTCTTGTTTCTAGTGACAATATTACTCATTTAAAATCTCGATGTGTGATCGAAATTTCGCACTCGTTTAAAATTCGAAAAATTGGAAGCGCAATACTTATAGCCAATTATTCGCTTTTATATTTTTACATGCATCTTTCGCAATCACAGATTTTTTCTTTTGTTTATTTTTTTAAGTCCACATTTTGCAATATTTCCGTTATCATATAAAGTATTTTAAGAGCCATTGACGTGTCAATTCAGTACACATTTAATTATTGTATTTTCAATTTCGAAGAGTTCTTCCTTTTTCTCATTTTACATTTGCCCTTCGTTAGCATTTCGTTATAAATTTTGTCATTTATTAAGTTTAATCATCTACTTTTTTTCTTCCTCAATAAAATTTCTCTAATTCTAATTGAAACAATGTTTAGACTTTGTTTTGTTTTTCATCGATTCATTATCATTTGAAAAATTGTCAGGCTACGATCTCTACGTAGAAAATGAAGTTGCGAGTGGATAGTAAAACACCAGTCTCGCTGTACTTTTCAAAGTCTTAGGCACTATGCGTACTTAAAAAGAGAGAAAAACAAAAATAACATTTCAAACAGCGTACACCTTAATAAATTTAGAATGTTTTAGAATGTTGCTGTTCACTCGTCAGATGAAAAGTGAAAAATATCGACGGAGACATTGGGATTGGACAAATTATTTCAAATTTTCCAAAAGATACATGATATGACATCGATCAATTATTAATATCTGGCCGTTACAGTCAAAACTAAACGTCCTAAACAAACGTTGTCTGTATATGTAATTTAGTTTAGGAAGGCTAATTTACTATCACGGTACACGAGAGTTATTATTTTTTTTTTCATTGCAAGTGTTACTCCAATCGGTTTCTTTCAATACCCGCGCTTCAAATCGTGTATATCAAACATCAACAAACACGCATACGGAGAAAAATGTGTGGCATATATTATATTTAAGCTAAAAACGCAATGTCGTGAAATCGTTGTCAGTGGGAAAATACTTTTTTTTCTTATTTTTTTGAGGTATTTATCGATAGGTTGTAATGCAGTGACACTTGGCCATTCTCTTTTCTCTTATAGTCTCATCCTCAAGTTTATTCGCGTCTACGTCTCGGTAAAGGTCGTAGTACTCGCGGTGCATTCATTTATAAAGCACGAGAGTTAGACGGGTTTTGAATGTTATTTTAATTTCAGATTTATATTCTTTTCCTCTTGCTATCTGTTAATCCTTCCACTTACGTATGATCAAACATCACTTTGAGAAAAGCTCGCGAGATATTCGCGATCGCGAAATTTCAATTATAAATCTATGCATATAATTAGGATATATTATATATATGAATGTAAGCCCACGTGCATTTAGAACTTTGGATAATATACATATACCTATATATAGGTAGTCACTTATATCGTTACTTAATTAAAGAATAGGTGTATTGCACTATATATCAACAGCCGATCAATTGATCAATCGGTTTTTGGACACAACGAGGCACTCATGTAGTGAGTCGCTAACTCATTGATGAGAACGTTTTTTTCTTTTCAAGCGTCGAATTTCTTCAAACCCTGATTAAGCTCTTCAACGTAAACCAGAGGAACGGAAATGAAAAGACAGAGCCAGTTCGTCAAACTGATTACGGCTAGGATACTCGTGTGGTTGTGCGTGGATGGAATTGTCTTTGTTACATTTTGTCGAGCCTTCCTGCGAGACACCGCGCACGTCATTTCGTTTTCCAGCAATGGCGAAGGGGATATGTCGGTAATTATGTAGCGTGTCCGGGGAAAATGGTATGGCGCTCGATAGTGTCTCGACGGATGTGCTAGCAAACCATACTGGATTTAGCTCGTCGATTTTTATTTCTCAAAGATTATCGCTTGGATGGATTTGCTTGTGTTTGTTATGCAAGACGAAGGAATTTGAACGCCCGATCATTCGATGGTCGACGTACAAAAATGGTCGTCGTTATTTTTTTTTTTTTTTTTCTTTTTTTTCTTTTTTTTCGTTTCGACATTTGCGATATTTGGGATTGATGCTCTATCGACAATCACCAACTGCGTTAAGAATTTACATTCTAAATTACACTTGATTCTCCACGATTGGATTCTTGTACAGGATGCGTGTGCTCGCTTTCACTTTCGACGAAAAGAGAACCGAAAAAAGTCGCTCGCTAAAATATCTGTTATGCTTTCCGAAGGGAGATCCAAGGCAAGATACATATCTACAACAATTGTTCGTGGCTTAGCATTTATTGCATTCTTTTTTTGTGTTGCTTTCTACGTCAATGTTATTTCGTGAGCGATTCGAACTTCGTACAGCCGCTCGTCATCGAACTTTATTTGGTTCCGTTTTACGTATTGGCTCTCGCGCTGCTTCTGCTTCGAAAAGAGAGAGAGAGAGAGAGAGAGAGAGAGAGGGAGAGAGAAAGAGAGAGAGAGAGAGTGAGTTAAAGCACAATAAGACATCGATATATACATTCTCGCGTCGTTGATATGCCGTTTATTGATACACATTTCAGCCTCGAGTGCGTTAGCGTACGCCTGTGTCTCATTGTCTATATCCGTGTCGGTCGGGGAGTTTCGATGCGCCTACAACAAGAGTACAAAGAAACAAGTCGACAAAGGTTAGAAACGCGTCGGTCGCGCTACATCGGCGAAGCACAGGAGCGGGTGCGAACCTGCAGCCGTGGAACGGCAAGCGACGAGGAACAGCCTTCTGCAGTTTCCTCCCCCACGCCGAGAACGAAATAACTGCGCGCGAGTGTTCAGCGCGTCGAGCGGGCAAAGTCATTTTTCTCCGAGCGCTTGGTTCTCGAAAGCTGTGACGCAGCCTCGATCACGCGAGACACCCCGCTGATCTGCGCTGCAGAGGGCCGTTCGCGTTCTTCGTCTCTCTCTTGTCCCGCGATTTGTGCAAACTGTTGCTCGTTTCCTCGCGCTTTCGTCGCGATCGACAACAATTTCAAACACATTCGCGTGCTGTACTCCAACGATATATATATATATATATATATATATGTATATGTATATGTATAGTAATACGCGTCCCGATTCGCCGGGGAACGTACGCGTATCAGCTTACTTTTACAGATAATGTTTATTACATCGGCGATGCGTTCGTCGGAGAGAGGATTCCAAGCAAACAAAAACTGTTAAAAACCGTCTCGACCGTGTCTCCTTAATCGCTATCGAGTAACACATTTTCCTTTGCTTTTCACGACATACAGACACTTAGGTAATCGATCACTCGACGCATTGGTTGTCGCGCTGTGCGAAGCATTCTTCTCTCATTCAGACAAATCGTAGGCAGATCGCGCATCAAATTGCTATATATGATCGAGTCCGTCAATCGTTCGACTATCGCAGAAGGACTTTCAACAAACGTCTCTAAATGTAGCCCCTCGAAACTCGAAGTCGCTTATAGTCGTGAATAATTGAACGCAGCTCCTTGTACCTTTCTCATACTATACCTTCCTCGAAGGATTTACACTCTCGTCGAATGGTCATTTCCCATTGTACGATATTCTAACCGATAATTCGTTCGTTTCAACCCAAACATTACACCACATTCTCATTTGTGCTTATGCATATGTAAATCAGGCTATGTGTCGTGCCGCGACGAGCGTTATTTCGTATTTTACTATTATTACATCGATCATAATTGCAATTAGTCATGCTTTTATTTATATATGTATATATGTATACATATAATATACGCTTATCGAAAAGTCATAAACAATATTTGTGTAATGCGCCTGAAAATCTTATCGGATAAATCTTACACATGTATACCTTTCTGCGGCCAAAAATATATATCTCACCTATATCTTTTCTCAGTTAACTATATGTTTTTTTTCCATTTTGTTCTTTTGAAAGTTTGTTGTTGTCGTGTGTTTTTTACCTTTCACACGTTAGCCGTATTTCAAATATAGTATATGCATTATTAGAATATATTATATGTATGTTTTTCTTAATTCTTAAAATTTTACGTTACCTTATCAAGTACTTTTATTTGTATGTGTTATATGTTTATCGTCGTGTACTCTACACTTCTCGCATCCCATTGATGCGTAGTTTACGTAGTTATTATTTTTTTATTTTTTTTTTTATATTAATTTTACCAAATTAGGGGTGATGTGAAAATCACACGCGTGCCCGTGTTGAGTATGAGTAAATACGTATGTGTTATAATTACGAGTGATCGTCGTTACAGTACCTTATGCATCAATAGTCTCAAATATTTTCTTATTTGGTGGCTGAGGGCATGTTTTGTTGATCTACTCTGTGATTAAGCAATGACATTGTAAAATTTCTTTCAACCGAGTGAAGTCGGAATATTGTTAGCTATAATTTGCATCACATGAAAAATAAACAAGTGTATTATCACAAATTGAAGTATAATGTGAAAATTTAAAATTTTCGAAATAAGTGAAAATTGTCCTTTCGCCTCTTTCCACGACTGACGATTCAAGTAAGATTCGACTGATGCGTTTCAGCTTGAAGATAGTTGTGAAAGGCTGTGCGTAATGTACGATAATCCTATTGCTAACTTTCTCAGAAAAAGTTAATTTCATTACAACAGGCTATCCGAAGAAAATTTGTATGAATTGTTGAATAAAATTTGAGAAATTAATTTTACTTTGGTCTTTCGTTTATCACATTTCTTGATGAGAATTCCTCCAAGATATTCAGAACACTTTCAAGGCATGGTTGTCAAGTTGTCTTTTAATCTCGGTAAAATTGCAAAAATCCATCACGTTGTTGCAACGTCAATGTCGAAACAAAATGTCCGCACTGTTGACGCTGCAATAACAAAATGGTCAGAGGCTAAATGGTCAGAAGCCGAAACGATCGAATTCACTTGAAGCGACAATACTGAATAGATTACGCGCAGTTGAATATAGTCGTCGGAATCATAACGAACGGATGAATAAATCAGTGCGGTAGGAGGAAGTTCATCGTTCAAATACTAGGGAGCGTTTGTAGTTCAAGTTGAAGAGTATAGTAATAATCGCAATATATCACAATACACTCGGTGTTTCAGGGGAAATAAGTTGAGCTTACGATTATGTGTCGGTTTGTTCAGTATGCGCGCGAATTGATTTTGTCTTTCTACATAACGTAGCCGTCGAAACTTATTGTATTCTGTCGATCTACGCAGTCGGGCAAAACAATGGTGTACAATTCGATGGCGCGCGATTTCTAAACGATGCATCGTCTCTTTTAGAAATTGCACTGAAGTCGACCACTCGCACCGACAGGCTTTGAAATTCAGTTACATTGATATATAATTTAATGCGACCTCCGTCTTAAAAACGCTTATTGACATTCTTACACCGTAAAAATAATATTTCCTCAATAAATATATGTGTATCGATACTTATCAATAATTCATTCCAAGTGCTATACCTTAGAATGGCCAACACTATATAGGTATAAGGTTCCATTGATTATCGCTCAACATTGATTTGGACAAATATTCATAGTGTTATCGAGATCAGGAGGATACGTGATATATCGCATTACATCAACAAATAACATTTTTTTTAGGTTTTTATTGATTTTTTTATTATAATAATCATATAATAATATTAATTGCAATAGAATAATAATAATAATAATAATAATAATAATAATAATAATAATAATCATCGTAATAATAAAATTAATAATAATATAGAATATAACTAAACTACTTAGGTACAGCTGCTTGATACTTTTCATCTTAAAACTTAAGAGCAGAGAAACAAAAAAACAGAGAAGGAAATAAAACACAATCAAACATCTCTAAAAAAAAGGAGCGGCTCGTTCGCAATTGACGTCGCATGTAGATCTTTACAAGTCTGCATTAACATATCATTTGTACTTGACGTCAGCGACGAACGCGACGTCCATTACAAAATAATAAGTTTAATAATAATATTGTTACTCTACGATAATGATAATAATAATAAAAATAATAATAACTATCATTATGATAAAGTAAAAAGCACCCTAAAGTGGTATTCGCAAACAATAACCGTAACTCAACTCAATCGATACGGCGACAAGCGCAATAATAGTTAAAAAAAAAATAAAAAAATACATACGATAATAGTAATAAGCGCGATTAGGTCAATTGCTTCGTCGTATCGGTTTAATCGAGCACGCATAGCCCAGATCTTGACTGTGTCCTGCAGATGCTTAGTATCTAGCGCACCACGATTGAAATCCTATTGTTGACCTTGACTCGAGCTTAAATAATGAGAGGACATAGCGTACCGAGTGAAACGCAAGAAAAGAGCGTCGCTTCGTGCATCGTTTTTTACTTTTATTTTATACAGTTAAGGCCTCTTCGCTGATTGGCTCTCATTAATCAAAGTTGACGTGTACACGCGTGTGATTGTGTGTGCTAGCAGTGGTCTACCTCGGCTATGTGTTTGTCGTCGATCAACAAAAAAAAAAAAAAAAAAAAAAAAAAATGAACGAAAGAAAACTTGTCGCGCCGGAGCGCGAATATGCGGATAAGCGCACACTTAGATTGCAGATGCTTGCGCCGCCCTGCCTGTTTGCTCGCTCTTGCTATTCGATTATTACTACGCTTCGACAACTGTATTATTATTGTTGTTACCGTATCGTATGACATCATTCGATATTATTACCATTATATATTTATATATATATTTCATATCGCTTTGCGCAAGACTACTTCTTTTTTTATTATCGTACGTTACTGTTATTACAATATTACTATTATCATACAGTTTACTCAAAATGTCGTCTCCGCCGCCCTTTTCCCTTCGTCTATATTATGAATCGCAACAGTAAACCTAATACGACTATGATATAGCGTGTATAATAAGTATATTAAGGCCCTTGTGTTGAGGTTCCTGGACAGAATGTCAAGAGTGTCACACCCCCACCGTTACATTAGCGATTTTCAACTGTCCCCGGAATGACGTTAACCTATGTACCAATCCAAGCTTCAGACTATTTTTATTGAAAACCGACCTCTTTTTGGAAGCATGTCGAGTGTATGATTAATTTTTTCTTTGAACCGACGCTGTTGCCATTGTGTATTTACCTAGTGGGCGTGATAAAATGCAATTTACCTAATGTGACCACTTATTGTTTACTTCACCGTCCTCATCTATCACGTATCCTAAAATATGTATATCATTATACTTACTACTATACGTCAACTTTAATCCTACGATTGCACGACAAGAGGTTTAAGGTATGCAAATATCATTAGAGGGTTTACTTTTATTTATTCATTATATATTCACGAGTAGGAAAAAGGCGTTTTGGTGTTTCGTGTAGGCGTGTGCGTGCATCGGTAGATGTCCAGCGCATGGTAGCTTGTGTGTACATGTGTGTGTGTGTGTGTGTTTGTTTGTTTGTGGTTATTTTTGGATCGACAGAATGACAATAATTGGAAGAAACAAGATTAACGAAAGTAACTGTGCGTAAGATTCTACAACGAAGAGGACTATATGTGTACGTTTATCATCAGCAAACCTTCACGACCCTTAACTATTTAATTTTCATTTATTTTATGGTTGAAACCTATCGGATAACACGTACATCATGTATATACGCGATACAATACATATTATTTTTCTTAGAGATTAAAACATAAAAATAAATACTTTCGCGAAGAGCTCAACTCATTGGCCTTCATTTCAGTTTTATCTGTTTGTTATTCAACTTTAATTTTTTAAATCTTTCGTTAAGTATAGAAATAAAAATTCTTCGCCATTCACTCTACAAAAAATTCACTCCGACAAATTCGTCCTACGAAAAAACCACGTTGACTCGTTCGATTAATATCATTAGTTCTATGGCTTAGAGACAGTCTTAATTTTATTTTTAGTAAGGTTTCCGCTCACAATCGGGCGCTGTCAACATTATTATTATTATTAAAATTATTTTTATTTCGTTTTTTTAAATATTTTTTTAGTTCATTATTATAAACACGAAAGACGCGTTTTAATTTACAAAAACAATGAAAAGGAAGTAAATATATATCATACAAGATTTGAGGTCGAATTTTGATTCTTAGTCAGTAACTCTTTTGTTTGTTTTTGTTTCAACTTTTTGGTCTGCACGAGTTTAACAAGAATCCACAACGAAAGAGAGTTGTACATGTATACGTAGAGCGAAAGGGGAGGAAAAGGAACGTCGAGACCCGTCCATCGATGATTCAATGTGCGTCGTGCGAAAAGTACGTCTACGTATACTTTAGTATTATATATTTAATCATTATTATTATTATCGATTATTCATAACCTTATCAACAAATCGCTTATACTGGGTTCGTATCTATTGTGCGACTAGTTGACGGACTTGTAACCTCCCTCCCCCTTCTTACCTTATCTCCCTCTCTCGTTGTACAATACTCGTTAAACGACGAATGGCATCTAATCTAGTCACTTTAACGCTTTTGTTTTTCCCTGTCATCTACCTTTTTGTACAATTAACAATGTCAACGATTTCACTTAACCTCTCGGTTTTCATTTTTCTTGCATGCATTTATTGTCGAGTCCCGTCAACGTCATTTGTAACTTAGTCGTCGTCGATCGGTTTTTTTTGTTGCTAACAATAAAGTACGAGGAAAACAGAGTTCAACGGAAATTGTACGCACTTTATATGCTCGCTGAACGCTAAAACGAGAAAACCAGAGTGAACGCACGAAGAACAGTTGAAAATCGCACCCGTTTTGCCTGGAACGTCTTGGTTAATTATTTTTGTCTTTTTCGCCACACGCGTTACCATCGTGACATTTCGAACGTCTCGAAGGGCGCGTTATGTAGATCGAGTACAGCTATACATTATACTTCGGAGAACACTGAGAAGAAAACTCGTGTGAGGCGTGCATGTGTGTATGTGTGTCGTGTGGTCTCCGCAGTATTTTTAGTTTGTCTGTTATGTTTATTGCTGAATCGAACACACGATTTTGTTTTTTTTAATTACGGACAGGGCGGTTGCCGATCAGTTTATTTACAGTTGGCGCTCTCGGTGGAGGCTGGGGGAAATTGGCTCTAACCTCGAAACGAAAGATTGTTTCAATGATTTTTTTAGTCTTTTCGCGGGAATAACAGTCTAGATGCTAATTGTACGATCAATGCCGAAATTTCCGTCAGTTATCCGAATATACAACCTCCATCGACGAGATCGCTGGCCAATGCGACGTCGATATACACGTATATTTCTATATGCATAGCTTGGCTTGATTTTTTCTAACTGATGGCTGACAGACCTGCGGCTAATTCGTGTGTCGTTACTTTCCCATAGGTTTGTATTATATTATAATGTACGAGTGCGTATCACTTTCGCACACATGTGTATGACATTCGAACGAACAAAGAAAAAGAAGATCCTTACATTATCGATAGGTCGCTTAACCGTTAAAAATCTAGTTAACTACGAGACAGACATAGCCTAGCGTTTCACAACACAGTTTACGTAGTAATAGTAAAAATAAAATGTAATAGTGAGACTAAAATTAATAATAATCCTTAATATTAATAAAAAATAATGACAATAAAAATAATCTAGAAACCATTGATCAGTGATTATCTTTTCTATTTCTCGTTTCTTTTCGTTCCTCCCAATTTCGATTGCTTCTCTCTCGCGCGGTATGCTATATTATAGATATATTTATGATCCACCACAGAAATAATTAACCGACGCACTTTATATTCAATTCATTTCAATTAATACTCGCATTCGCATATAATTGGCATAATGTACTCACAATAATGACAGTAATAATAGCAATAATTAATAGTCTTAGTAGTTAATATAATCGTATAATTGGTTAAATATAATTTATTATCATTACTTTGTATATAGATATATTATATATTATGTATATATATAATATATATTCATTTATTTTTATATTCCCTTACCGCGTAATATGTTTAAATGTATATCATTGTTTACAACACTCTTTCTTCCTTTTCTTTTTTTGAAATGTATTCATGTAATTAGTTTAATAATTAATTATAACAGGGATGTTGGCGCTTCACAGATTCGTTTCAGAGCGGAAAGAACACCGGTCGCGAAAAAACAGTTATATAATTATACATTAATAATTCAACCTTAATATCTACTTTTTTAGGATCTTCGTCGTCTTTGCAGGAGAAAAAGGCCCTTTCGTTCAATTTCTCTCGACGCCCATCTCCCCAATTCAAAATAGCTCGTATCCGAAACAAAAAATAAACAGACACTCGAACCTTTTGCCCATCCCCCATCGCGATTTCCTCTTACTTATTGATTTTTTTTTAACTTTTTTTCTTCAGTTTTTTTTTTCATTTATTTTGACACTTATTTATTACTGCCCTTTACCTTTCCTTCTATCGCGTCACAGCTCTGGTGCTACTTTTTTAAATCGATTCACAATCGACGCGTTTCTGTCGGATTAAATTATTAGCTTTGTTTATATTTTTTCATTATTATCATTATCATATACGTTATAATACACGCGCGCGCAAACATATATATATATAGATATATGTATATATAATTATATAGCTATATATGTAATGTAGAGGTACTAAGAAGCTCGAAAGAAAGAACGGAAAGAGTAGTATATAAGGGTCTTTTTCAATTAATTTGTAAATATAATTACAACGTAGTTTTAATTAAAAAAAAGGCGCCTCGTATTTGATTGGCCGTCCAACTAAGACAGACAAATCTTATAACGACAGAGATGATCACATTTTGATATATTTGACACGAATTTCGATGAACACCGTCGAGCAGAGAATAGCTTTGATCGATGTTGAAAGGTCTGCCCTTTGAATCTTGGTAATTTGCTTCACTTTTTTTTTTCTTTTTTATAATCGATACACAATGATGTATTTATATATACACACATACATACATAGACAAATATATGTATGTACACATATATACACACACACACAATCGAGCTACCCGATTAAGAGTCAACGTACATTATCGCCTACTATCCTTTCCATTCACTATATTATATTATTACTGCGCTTATACGACCGTCAACATTCCGCCTGCCTTTGCGTTTTCCTTATACTGTTTCAGCTGTCGACGTAATATTATCGAATGACTGGATCTCGACACACCGCAAGATCGACTAGTCAGACCTGCAAGTTCACGCGGCCCATCGTTCGCGGCAATCTACTTTCTTCCAGAACGCTCATTGTCGACACTCGGCGAACGCGCATTGCGATCGCGTTGGATCGTTGAGCTCGCGATGCGAGGCGAGCAAAGTCAGGGGGCCGCCGTTGCGCGACACTGGCTCAGAGGGACGCGGCGAAGAGTGAGAGTGAAAGAGAGAGAGAGAGACAGAGAGTTTGGGTCAATACGAAACGCGATTATCCCGATTCGTCGGCGTTGTTGAAGCTATTGGCAACGAAGGACCTCGGGCGAAGGGGAGAGCACGGGAGGGAGATGCTCCATACAATAAGGTCACTTGTCTTAAGAATACTCTAAGAAGTCTCTGATTTTAGTCGCATCTTGTATGGGGATTTAACACCAACGTACAAGCCTTCGCACGCGATTTTCCCTCATTCACTCGATTCAGTTGCTTTTTTTTGTGTTTGTTTTATATTGTTTTTTTTTCACTTTTTTCTCGTCTGTTTACTTCGTCTTGCTCACTTAGGACTAGATTCAGGCAGGTTCCTTATCGTCTTTTCACCGATTAATTTCCATCTTCTTTTTTCAGCCTCGTTATTACTATTATTACTTGTATACGTTTGAATATGCAAGCGATTGGAGGGGAGCGGGTATATCATGGGTGAGGGCGTGAGCCTCGTTCCACGCTCGGTTCTTTACCGACGACATACAAATAATAAATTTGACGATAAATATTGTGAGCTGTCAAGGCTATTGCCGAGCAGTTTTATCAGCATGGATTCGATTGGATAGGACTATGGTTTTTTGTCTGTTTGCTTATCGCCGAACGAATTTCTCAGATCATTGCTGTGGAGGCAGGCTTCCGAGTTGTGAGACTTTCAGAGCGGAATAGAGAACGATTGATTGGTTTGTTCGTTTGTAAGATTATCATTGCTACAAGTGGACTAAAGAAAAAGATACGGAGCGCAGACATGAGGAACATCGAGTCGGAACAAAGCCATTATATATTTATATGCACGTCACTACACTTGCGTTCAATGGAAACGTCAACCCTTGCCAACGAAAAGTCTTTCCCTGCAAGTTGGCTTGGCGCCGAAAAAGCAAAAAAGGCCACACGCCATTCTCACGCAGCTTATGTACTTTAATCTCGACTTAAAAAATTACAGACTATCGTTTATTTACTTAGGCACTGAAACATGGAATTTCCGTTATTTTTGTTTCAATCGTGAGCTCGCTGCCGAGCCAACCTCAATGTCGCCTCGGTCGTCCGTTTGTTCACAATATTTTATCACGGTAACTGAAAAAGTGCTTTTCGCCGCGTCGAACGACTTCACGAATACTTAATTAAATGCTTCTTTTTCCATTGGTCTTCCTCGTTTAACAGCTAAAGGACTGTTTGTCAGGCGCGTCGCTCGACTATGCTTATGTTTTCCATATTTGGTCGATCTTGGAAGAGGGCAGAAACTTGAAATGAAAATAACGAGCGAGACTAGTGAAAATTTTGGAAGATAGAAGAGATTCTGTACACGATGAGCGGCGAAAACTGGTGTGTCGATTTCAAATGGAAGATCCATCGTCATCGTTCTCCCTCATCGAGGCAACATAGGTAAGTAAAGCTAGAGGACGACGACGAGTTGTGAGGCTGGTCCGCGCGAGACCGACAAAGACATAGATCGGTGTTCGCCAAGCGTTCGAAACAAACATGGGGTTATTTTTATAGATACCGTGTGTGGGGAGGAACAAGAGCTTGTTCTCGTCATTATTATTAACACGAACCCTCGCGAAAAACACCACAGAAACATTGTACAAGACGTTACTTTTGTTTTTATCGTACAAACATGTACATATACGATTACCCTATCTAATATATATTATTATATTGTAGAGAGATAATATCCTACGCGATTTATTTACCGTTATTATTATTATTATTATTATTATTATTATTATCTTTTCATTAGATTATAGAGAGAACAAATAGAAACAACAGTCGCAAATGCGCGCGAAATACATAAGGATCCACGTATCGATTATTTGTTTGTCGACTAAAAATCAATTAAGTTTATCATATGGTTGTTTTTTTAATTAATTATAATTAATGTTATTGGCAACACAATTAAGCGTATATCAGAGCAGCTAAGTTTTACGGTTCAGTTTGCCTCCCGTCGCCCGGGCCGGGTCCTTTCACTGCCTCCTCCCTCCCTCTTATCTCGTAATTGGCCTGCTCTTCCGAGCCCGACGCTTCTTCGCTATTGGCAATTGATTATCGGAAACTCTTTCTCGCCCCCTCTGAGCCACGCAACCACGCAATCGCCATTCGACTTCCTGTGCCCCCGCCCGTGCTCGCCTCTTCGTTTCCGTGTTACCGAGTCAAAGTCTTGGACGCAGATCGTCGCGTTGCACATTTCCGCTCGTCTAATGGAAGATGCGTCTTGGCGCGAGCTTGCGCGACCAGGCCCTTCGCCGATCATTGATTTGAGCGCGCGTGGCGCGACAAAGGGCCGAGTCGCTGCTGAGAGCCACGCCTCCTCTGCTCCTTCCTTCTTTTTCTTTTAATTCCACGCACTTTTACGCTATTACATCTACATCTATCTTGATCAAGACTCACAGCTCGCACGATCTTGATTGTTTAATCACTAGTGTCTTTTTTTTCTAACTTATGAGTATGTGAGTGGTGAGCGTCGATCGAGGAGAGTCTGCGACGACTCGACCAAGTTTTCATTCGCGTGACCAAATATAATCAAGCTTCTTCGAGAAGGAACATGCAACCTGGAACGACAATCTATCCGTTGTCTTTGTATTTCTCTCTCCCCCCCCCCCCTTTTCCAAGTGTTTTTATCATCATCGGACTACATCGCTGGCTAATTCTTTCCTTCCTTATGTAACTTCGAGGAAATCAAAGTCGAGCACGCATCTAATGCCCAGTTAGTACGTTTCGTTTGTGTGTGTGTGCGCGCGTGTGTGTTTGTGTGTGTGTATGGTGTGCACGTATGTCATGCGTATATATGAGAATCAATGCGGAACACGAGATAAATAGAAGGAACGAAATTCACGGTGCAATCATTGTCCAAGGATGAACCCTTTTTTGTTTCGATTGCTTGTCACAGTCGTCTTACGTACTTTTTTTTAATATTTTTTTGTTTCCTTAATAGTTGGTAAGTGGAAGGCGCGAAGGCATGCATATGCCACGAGAGCTTTGATTATTATTTGTAATTCCGTCCTCGAGTCCGAGAGAGTTTTAGAGATCGACTTTTCCTTTAATGATTAAAACTCACGTCGACAATGAGTATTTTTTGTTTGTTTTTTATCATCAACGATATCCCTTACTAACGTCACTTAATTCTTTTTTTTTTGCTTAATATACTCTAAAAATATGTTCACATTGATATCTTAAGATTGTTCCCTCATAGGCGTCTTTAAGTGTTTTTTGGCTTTGAACAAACAACAACAAAAATTAAATAAATAAGTAAAATAAAATAAAAAAAAACAGTTCGTATGTATGTTTCTGTCAGTCCACTTACTCGCATAACGGAATTTTTGTATTAATAATACACACTCATAAAAAAAAACGCAAAAGGAGAACGAACAAAATACACGTCAAATCTTCGATTTTTTACATTGCGTATTTGAATATATCTAATATTCGGTATATATAATCGAGCGAACGGAGTGAATACTGGATTTCAAACGCTTACTTTCTTTCAAATCTATTTGTTTTTTTTTCCTTTTCGCTATTATTATTATTGCACAAGAAAATAGAAATTCCACTAATTGGCAATTCGCTTTGATAAAATGTCTGCTTTGACGATGGAACGCTGACGATGGGAGGCACGAGGAAAGAACCGAGAGAAGAAAAAGTAACAGAACAGTTTTTTTTTCCTTTTCTTTTTACTTTATCGAGGTAGCACATATATTTTTCTATTTATTCCAACTACAATTAAAAGAACAAAGAGAATGATTTTGACTACATATCTGCACGTATCGAAGTAAAAATACAAAAATTACCTCGCGTCTCGTCGTGATCGCAATCGAAACAAACTGGATGACTCTCGTATTAATCAGGTACTGGGTAGGGTCTTTAAAATTATATATATATATATATATGTATATATATATATATAGCTGTTGGAAAAACGATTGTATTTAGATTTGATTTTTTCTTTTTTTTCCAAACAACGATTTTTTTTAATCTTAAAATATTACTCTCGCTGGAGTATTCCTTTTTCCCCTCGTATTAATAAAATAAGAAAAGAAAAAAAATTAACACATCGACGATAATGGCCTTAAGTAACTGCAATTTAAATGTGAGTCTTTCGTTTACTTTCGCACTAGAGTTGACAGTTTTATTACTTGTTTTGATATTATTAGTTGTTTTTAAACTCCACACGATCAAAAAACACTCATACACTCTTTTGACTCAGCACCCACTCTTGTACTCGTAAAATGATTAGATGAACTTGCTTTAATTCTTTTACGTTTTTCTTCAATTTTTATCATACTCTTAATCAGTTGATTATTCATTAATTATTACACCACGGTTTGCGCTTTTCTTTTTCTTTGATAAGTATAGGAAACAAGAGATCACAGATTCGAAAAACACGGTTTATATACGTTTTTCTTGTTTTTATCTTCCTCAAACGTTCTTCATAGTCGCTACATCATGATTTCTTTTACGATTTATTATCGAATGGACAAAGAAAGAGATTTAAATATCTTTTTTGCGCGATCTTTAAATGCTAAAGGCTCAGTTTTCTCGCCAAACATCCACGTGCGAAATGCCCCCGTTTTTTCCGAAATAGCTTCGCTTGAGTGTAAAAATCGCACGAGACAAGAATCTACTTTTCCGAACTTGCATCGGCGTGTGCAAAGTTCGATTTTGAGTGCGCGTTTTTGACCGAACGTACGGGAAAGTCGCACTTTGCGCACGTAGTGTCGGGAAAGGAGCATTTAGCATTATCTTTTTCTTTGTCGTGAGAAAATACTTTGTTTTTCATTTTTCTATTGTCGCTTGTGCTTCTGCATACACGTCTATAAGTAAAAAATATCGCGTCATTAGATGAAAGAGAGAGAGGGAGGTTCGATTAATTCAATTCGCGTTGGTCGGTTTCACGTATCATTCGTCTTTGAAGTGTCATTTTTTGCAAACTACGCCGATTGGAATGAAAGTTTTCTTTTCCGGAAAAAATCAAAGACTAAAAAAAAATGATGCCGTGATCGCGAGCTACACACACATATGCGAAAACAATACTATCAATTGGAGATTGAAAAATTGAAATGATGCATGTACTGCTCGTTAAAATACTGTAAATACTATCGAGAGGGAGCTTGTATAATTGTTCTAAGTGCCACTTTGCAAAGTGCAAAGATCTAATTGTTAAAATCCAGATTTGACAAAAAAAAGAAGCAAAGCTATATTTTAAATAAATTATCAAGCTAGAAAATCATAGTCATTATTTTCCTCCTATAGAAGAAAAAAGAAATGATCTCAGGTTATACGCGCGCGTGTTGACGACGATCCAAGCGTGGATCGAAAAAGAGGAAAAGCTTGGATCGACTATCGCAAGGAACGTGAGAGAGCCCATGTATATACATACGTGTATATATACATACATATATATGTATATATGTGTGTGTGCAATGGCAATTATAAGAATTAAAAGTAACGTACATATCAACTAAAATGGTTACGAACCCCTAAGTAAAAAACATTGTAGCTTAGACGTTAAAAGCCAATCGAAACTACAACGAAAAAGTCTGCGCCGTTACATAATAATACTTAATACGTGCGTTATCCATCGTCAGCGATCGTCAAAATCAGTTCTGCCTCAAAACCTTTTCTCCTATAACAAGTCTTTGCGTCGTGTTTTGGTCGTTCTTTTTGTTGTTAAATATCTTTGTTGTTTGTTGTCGATGCACCGATTCTCGAGATTCTCGTGGTTTTCTTTTTTCTTTCTTTCTTTTTGTTTGTTTGTTTGTTTGTTTTTCGTTTTTTTGAGAGAGAAACGGCGCGAGAGTCGCAACAAAAAAGGTGACAAATTTTCACTGTTGTCCGCGCGCCACTCATTTTGATTTTATCGCAATGGCTTTGCGGGACGAGGAAAATGACAAGCGAAAACGTTTCGAAAACTCTCGAGGGTTCTTTCATGTATATGATATATATATGACAGCTCGAATGAAGTACAAGAGTAGTGCGACGACGACACTCCAAGACGATTTATTTTCATCGGTAGGCACGCGTCAATCCAGCCCGACAATTCGCAGCAGCAATAATAATAAAGTCGACGTTGACTCGAAAAAAATTAAATCACCAATGATAATTAATTAATCAGAATGACAATAATCCTACAAAACAACGTCTCTCGTTAGACAAGACACGAGAATATCACATAGCGGGTGTTTTCATTATTATTAATCGATTTTTTTGTATTTTTTATCTTTTTTTCTTCATTCTTTCTCTTACTTGTTTCTCGCCTTACAATCATAATGCGCGTACGTGTTTCTTACTTAAAAATCTAAAAGACCTCACTCATAGATAATAAATCAAGAAAAAATGTCCCCTCTAAAATTAAAGTTTTTTCCCCACTTAAGCGCTAAGTATTATTATTATTATTACGATAACATTATTTTTCCTCTCAATATCTCGGTAAAATTGGGTTCGGGCCCCTTTTCGTTACAACTAACTTTCAAAATTAGTATTAATATATTGTGTGTGTGTACACATACATAAACGTCGGATAATCCTCATGAATTTTTTTTTTGTTTTTTCATTACGCTAATTGTGGATCATGGTCGAACGACGACTATAATAACGACACGACTGATTTGGTCTTGTCCGTGGGATCAGTCGAGGAACTTGACTGGACAATCATCATCATCGATAACAAAACTCTACGTCTGCGCGTTTGATATGATTACTTGTGTTTGTGTATCTTTTTGCTTTCACTTGTTGTGGTTGTTACACATTCGTTTGCTTGTTGTATTATAAGTTGCCGGTTGAGCAATATTGCATGACTAAATCCATTTTCTATTGACTAGGACTCAAATGACGCGAGTAAAAATCGTTTTGCTTGCGAGCTCGTTTTTTTCGGTGTAATAAGGCAGGAGAAGAGTCAGAGACTGGATATTTGTTTTTCTTTTTGTCTTTCTTTCATTCTTTCTTTCTTTCTATTTCTCCTTTCGAAGTTCCTCGTCGTGATCGCGCGAGTATATAATATATATTCCGTTCATCCTTCGCGTGGAGTACGACAGCGGGTTGTGCAAATAAAGAAAAAAAAAACAATTCTCGTCGACTGAGAGCAAAATGCATATTATATCGTACGATAATTACATAAGATTAGTTTTGTTATGTGCATGTCCTGAGAGGTGTGTGAGTTCATGTAAAGTGTCACGTTTCAAGTCCTTAAATTCCTATCGAACTCTATTGCCATCGCCTGCCAGTCGAGAGGGACCAGTCGACTGATATCGCTTGAGAATTGCGCTAATTGTCACTCACGCTGCTTCTTTCTTTCATACACATAGTCGTGCGCGATATTTTTTTTCTGTTTTTTTTTTTATCTTACTTATTTTACTTTTGCTCTCATACTTTTACTATTATTGATAGAATCTTACTTGAAATTATAAATGTATATTTATATATCGATATATTCCATGTGTACTATTCCTTCATTCATATACACGTATATATATTTATATACTTGGCGTATATATAGATATATACACATTAATTAATAGTAATGAATTATGTGTGTGTGTCAGCACGTGATTTTTAAAATCTCCTGCACATCGACAGAGAGTAGGTACATTGACGTGTTCGATAAGTATTTTTCATTAATTAAAAATTTGCCCTAATTTAAATAACGGCTCGTGGCGCGCGCACGCGCTATTTCAGCAAGCATACGTGTACGTTTGTATACATGCATATACATGCCTGTCGGGCACACGCGTGCGCGCGCGCGCGCTAATTGCCGCTGCAGTAATACCTAAGTTCAAATATTTAATTATTATCACAAAAAACATCTGCCGTCTTTCGTCATCGTCTTTGATTTGATCGATACGTGTTTTATTATTATTATTATTTTTTGTTTCAAACGCAAATTAGGTGTTAAAGTCGAGTTTACACACGGACGCATAAAAATACTTTAGAGAAATGTTTTTTTTTAATGTTTTTGTATGCATTAGTGTGCTTATGTGTGTTGTTAAACTTAAATGCTGAGCTTATTATCTCGCATCGACACGTGCAGGCGGTATTTCGTTTATCTTACTAATCGTAATCCCCGTATACAATAAATAATAAAAATGGCTTTAGAATCACCAGAACCTCGCCGCGGCGGCGATGTTCAGCGTTTGGTCGACGGACTTTCCATTAGTTATTTATTTATTTACGTTTTTTTATCGTTTATCGTTTCTCTCGTTTATTTTTCATCTTTTAATTAAAAAAATAAATTTTTAAAGCTACACCCCGCGACTGGACTTTGTTTTTAGGCTGCGCTCAGCCGTTACGTATCGATGCATCGGACTTCTTTTTTTTCTTTATTTCAAGTGTATATACGCTCACGTGCGTATTCGTAAAGAAGGGAATGAATGAAAATAAAAAGAACAATTGACAATAACAATTTTGAGTAATAATAAAAAATGTGGCGTATTGCTTTTTTACACAGAAAAAATATAGTTATCGTAATGTGTAATTCTTTGTTTTCTTTTTCTGTTTTCGTGACAATGATGAAAAACAATTCATCGCTGCGCTTCTTTCACTTTAGTATAATTCACTTTTATAACTTTGTAATTTTTTTTTTCGTCCTCGCGCGCCGCTCGCGACTAGTTTTCAAATAGTCAATATTATTTCTTATTTTTTAATTGAAAGATAGAAACAAAAAACAAAAAATGCTTTTATGTCAATGTCTCCACGCGAAGTCGCCAGTACGATGCTTTAATATATAAATATATAATATATATAATGTATATTTGATGTACATATAATGTATGTCTTCATACCGCCTTCATTGTTATCTTTCAATCAATGATTAATTGTCCAGATAATAGATTCGCTTGGTTTTCTTTTCACTTTGCGTCAGATTTGCTTCATTTTTTTACAATTAATTAAATAATACAATCAGAACTTACGCTTACAAATCTATCGATGTGTGTAAGTGTTTTATACTTGTTCTCGCGCGTGTGTCCCCAGGGGAAAACCGAACCTATTCCTCTGCTCTGAGAGTGGACGACGATCATCAAATCAATTAATAAAAATAAAGTAAGAATAATAAAAAAAATTCAATCAGCCACAAAAGAATTCGTGAGTATGTCGCCGTGCTCGTATGAGAGAGGAAAAGATCGTTAAAAAGCACGCGAGGCCGCGACAATTTTTTTACACTAAATTATATATATAAAAAAAAAAAGAAAAAATTGTTAAAAGCGTGTCAATTCCCTTTCCCTCAGTCAATCAGGTACGCTCGAACGCCAACGAAAGGAATTGATCTCGCAGAAGTAAAAACATTGACGTTTAGGGATATAAATATATCGTAATACTAAGTCCGAAAAAAAGAAATCTCTCAAAGAATGAACTCGTCGTCGTGGGCGCCGCTGGGCCTCGCGGTTTTAAAAAAGCGTTTCAAAAGAGAGAGAGGTGGGGGTCAAGGGGGAATGCGGAGACACACGTTGGACATTGGCACGACAGGTGGCATGGGTTAATAATAGAATAAAACTTTTAAAACGTGTTATTGCGTTATAACATTTGGTATCGTTGCGTGTGTCGCGCGTCCCTCAGCCTCTCGACGGACTTCACTTGACGTCGTCTATAGTAATCATATCTATATTATCCACCGGAATGTGTCTCTCTCGCTCGCTTGTTCTAGTTATTCATTCATTTTTTTTAAATCCCTTTCTTTTGTTTGTTTCGTATTGTTTGTTAGTTTTGATTAGATATACAGTCTAAGTCGTCGCAGTTCCTTAAGTAACGCAGAGATATCGGTGCTGAGTTGTTTTTTTTCGTGTGCTTACGTGGCTAATTGACGCTTACATGGACTCGCCTCCAAGGAGGTCGCCGGGTAAGTACGAGTTGAGCGACGATGGGGTGGCGCGCTGCTGCTCACTTGTGTCGAGGCTGCTGCTCCACAGTGAATTGGTCGCTGGTGGGGCACCCCACAGTTGACTGGCGCCTGCGCCCCAAGTGTCACCGCCAGCGACTTTGTTTGCTGCCACCGCGGCTGTGGCACGAAGATTCCAACTTGCAGCGCCACTGCTTGGATTTTGACCCGCTGCGCCGGCGCCGGTTGCTGCAGCCCCACCACTTCCATGGCCAAGCTGTTGAAGCAACGTGTGCACCTCACTATCCACCGGAGACTCGGCAAAGATTGTTGTGTTGCCGAGCACACAGTTGTTTAGTGCACCTTGGGCCTGAAATTGATAAATTGCATTTTTTCTTTGACTTTTATCCCTTTACGCAAAACAAGAGAAAAGCTCGTATATTTTATACGTACCTTGATAGCCTCGTCTCTAGACGAATATTTAGCAAGTGCGATTCCATGATTCAGGTAGAGTCTGAAGTCCTGTACTGGACCGTGCTGCATGCACAGAGTTTTCAGTGTTGATCCATCGATTTGTGGAGTTAAGTTTCTCAGCAGCAACCAAGTGGATGGTGAAACCCATCCGCTATTGCCAGCGCTTGGAGCATTAGATTGTAAGCCCCAGGTATTAGAGCGTCCTAGAGCTGTCCAGCCGTTGCTTGCGTTCGACACAGCACCAGCGCTTTTGTTACCGAGTCCAGGTGGTGGACCACGGGATTTGCCCATTGGTGCACCCCATAGCTCCGATGTCACGGCTGTTGGCGGTGGAGCTGCATCTCCCCAGGTATTTTTCGAGCTGTGAAATTATAATTATCATGGTAAATGTTCAGCAGCCACAAATAATCAGGTGAAAAAATAATTGCGTTGATATTACCTGGTGAAAACACTAGGCGTAGTAGCTGGGGGATTGAAGCTCCAAGTGGAATTGCTCAGGCTTGGAATAGAAGACGTATCGGCATTTTGAGGCGGCGGTGAAGTCTTACTTCCGGTCGAGAAAATTGTATCAGAATCTTTGATTGCAGCAAGTGAAAGCGGTGAACGGACGACCGAGCCAGGTGTCAAACTGGGATCGTCTTCAATTGTTTTCATCTAGAAGTTATAAAAATATTTTGAATATACATATACTATCTCAAGATTTAATTCATTGCGTAATTCTTGTACTTGATATGTATGATTTTTTACGACAAATGTCGAAAGATCAAACTTTGAATTTATATTGCCGATCCGAAGAAGTATTTATTACCTTCCATGGCTTTCCAGGTTCAAACTCGGGGACGAGATCACTAAAAGCAGAGCCAGTACCTGGTGGTTGCCAGTCTTTACCATCAGTAGAGTCATTGTTGCCAGCATCAGGCCAACCGCTGTCACCAAGACGGCTTGACCAGGGTGCATCACTTGGGCCAAGCAGTGGATTCATGTTAGGGCTGCTATGTGACTGGGAAAGACCACCAGGCGTTGCTGGTGGTTTGTTGCTGGTGCTACCTGGCGCACGAGAGAATTCACTGTCTGTGTCCTTGTCGAGAGACGGCAGTTTCCACTGATTCAGTCGTGATTGTTGTTGGCTCTGCAATTGAGAATTCCGGTAATATCTTTTTTATTTATTTAATTTTGTGTTACAATAACCGACTGACAGTTAGTTTTCAACTTTATAAATGCCACGGTATTTAGTAACATTATACTAAGTCAAAGCATTAAGGTTAAAATTAGTGCTTTCAATGTGTAGTATGTTAATATACTTGAGTTAATTTTCAGTCTTATACATGAATTATTTACACTATCAGTTATGTATATCAGTTAAAAATAGTGCAGCTAAGTAAATATCGAAGAAACTGCTTAAAACGAACTAAGATTTTTGCATTCGGAAAATTTCTATATTAAATGATATATTGTATATTAAATGGCTTATATATATTATTTGGCAAAAAAATTATCAAATACTGACCACTGGTGGCTCCTTGTTCATAGCGAGATCACTGAAGCTATTTTGTAATGCGCTCATAGGATCATGTACCGAAGGTTTGTAATAATCTGACGGTTGGGACGAGCTGCTCGGATGAGGTTGTTGTTGCTGCTGCTGTGCTTGCTGTTTCATATAAGTAGCCTGTTGCACGGCAATCTGGTTCTGCAGATTGGCGATTTGCTGCTTGGTTTTAGTAATTTGCACGCTGATTTGCAAAACCGTCTGGCTGTTGCCTTTCAGGGAGTTCTGCATGGTGTGCTGTTGATGGAGCTGCTGAAGAACTTTGATCTGTTGCAGTAGTTGATTGAGCAGAATGAGTGTTTGCGGTGCTAATGGCTGATTCAAAATTTGATGATTGAGGTAGCCTTCTTGCACGGCTAATTGAATCTGTTGGACAAGCATACGAAGCTGCTGCGTACTTGGCTGATTCTGTGGCGTTCTAGATGCCTGTTTAACACAAAAATACATTACGTCAGTTCCATTCAGTTGATGAAATGTCTTAGGCAATTTTTTACAATATGATAAAATTTATGAGATATATAAAGCGATAGTATATATAGAAATCCCAGAAACTTTAATCCGTGGCGCTATAATTTTAAAAGTGCTCGGTTTCTGCGACCATTATATTCACCTAACTTGAGACTTGGTGGGAGAAAAAATAGATAAATAATATATTAATGTGCACATTCGTAAGTTCAACATCTACCGTTAGGTTTGGTGGAGTCGAACGAGATGAATGCGAAAAATATATCAAACTACAAGCTCGCATGCAAAAATAAAAAAAAGACAAAGCCACAAATAAGTGTCAAATAAAAAAATCAAAAGCAAACGCATGCATCGAAAAGCCTACTAGAATCACAATAACAGGGCAGAAAAACAAATGAGGAAGATAGACAGATTTGCGATCGAGATGCACTCGTCACAGTTACGAGCAGACGAGCAGAACTTGAGGTTTTTTTACTTCTCCGCAGTATCGTCAAAATAAGGACACACAACTTTCATTATTTGCTTGTTTTTCGTGCGGGTCCCAGTGCGCGCACTTCGGATTAGAGTTGCTCGTTGTGTGTGCGTGTGTGTGCAGGTTTTTTTAATCAAAATGTTCTCACAATTGGCCCTGTAGTCTTCTTCATGAGTTCGAACCTTTTTATGGTTCTTGAGGTGGTTTGTTGTTAGTGTAAGCGGCTGTAGTGTATGTGCGGTAATGTAATGTCGGTACGCGAGGCAAGAAAAATAACTTCGAATTTTATTTGTGTAACGATAAGTAAAAAAAGTATATTAAGCGTGAAAAATAGTAGACAAAAATGGCGGAAATTGCGTAGTTAAACGTGTAAAAAACTTTAATTATTGACAAATCAAATGAAAATATCGTGTGACAAAAGAGAAGTTAATTGTTGAAATTTCACGAGTTTGCGTGCACACGAGAGTAATAAAAGTAGTCGGAGTTATGCAGTGTCGTATACGTGTGTACGTAGGTGTTTTCGCTGTTGTTCACCTGATTAAACGGCGGTTGAGCTTGCGCGGCTGTAGGTGGCTGTTGTTGCTGCTGTTGCTGCAGTTGTACAGCCGCAACCGCTTGTTGTTGCTGTTGTTGTTGCTGTTGTTGCTGCTGTTGCTGCTGCTGCTGCTGCTGGAGCTTGAGGAGGCTAGCGCTAGTGACCGAGGTAGCAGCCGCGGCTGCGGCTACCGCCCCACCAGGCACACCTACCCCCTGTTTGCACGCAAGCCGCATTTTTTTGTCAGCCAGCGTCACACAACACACCACACGCAATAAACTTCCCACGATATGCTCTCGACAATTTTTGATTATCAAAGAGGGGAAATGTAGAGGATCAGTGATCATATTTGACTAAGACTGAAATAGCAGGATTTGTTAGGAGGTTGAAGCCTTTACCCTACGATTCGCTATGTTCACTGCTAGCCCAGTTTCCAATTGCACCGTTGCCCTCGCGATAGTCTACTTGAGAACATTTTTTAAATATCCAAGCAATCTTTTTAATGAGAACTTTAACACCACACGTTAAATTGTTACATGCGTCTTGACAGTCATCGCTTCTAGTCCATCTTAGTATGAAAAGTTTATGTATTGTGTTAGTCGATCAATAGTACATCCCAAAAATTCAATGAAATAAACGTCAAAGCGACGACTGTGTTACCTTTTGAAATACCTTGCATGCTCTCTAATACCCCATTGGCGCAAAAAACGCAAAAGTACTCCAGCCAGACATGTGGAAAATGTATGTATGTGTGTGTATATATCGCGCGCATACGTGCGCGTAAATATTGTGTCTGTTTGAGAGACGTAAATTATATCGGTCTCGTGATTTTGTTTCAAATGTGAAATACAAAACCACAAACATAACCAGAGGAGGATAAAAGGATAAGAGAGCATCACAGAGATGTAATGAGACAGGAGATTTAGAAGCAACCGACGGCTTCAAGGATTTACAAAAGACGCACGCTCTTAAATCCAACAAATCTAGAAACATCTGCTTGAACTTACCGGTGGGAAAGTCATCTGTTGGCTAACATGATTGAAGCGCGAGAATGATTGGCCTCCCGCAGATTGGCTGGTTGGATCGTATCCGGAATGTCCGGTATCATGACGTCGCCACTGATCTACTGAGCGCACCTGACTCAGTAATTCTTGTGCCTCGTCGCGATTCATCTCGCGACTTCGCAGCGCCACTTCAACGTCCTCTTTCTGTTTTATCGCAAAAGTTTAACGTCAATTTTCAGTTTTGAACACGATCGACAATATATCGATTAAACTTAAATACCTTGAAACCCATATCGCACAAATAACGGAACTCCCGGCTGTTCCATATGAGTTCCTTGGTTAGCGCAGGTTTGGCGGTATGTCCCCAATTGGAACTAGGATCCATATCAGTATCAGCCCAATTACTAGCGGGACCACCCATACTGGATGGCTTTTGATGATCCTCCCAACCGAGAGGCTTTCCAGTGCGTGGATCAACGATTTCAGGACCATACCGATTTCTACTGCGCGGTTTGCTTTCAGATGCCCAATCAGCTGGTCCACCGCTTGGTCCATCAGCCCACGAGCCATTGTGACCGCTACCGGCGCCTGGGTGAGTATTCCACATAGGACCGCCACCAGCATTACCGCCACCTCCGCCAACAGACTCGGGTTTCATGTCTGGCTGGCCGCCTGGCATCTGGTTCTGCAGCATACCCGGAGGACACTGCATACCTGGAGAACAAAAACCGCGGTTAAATGCTATCAATATTAAATTTCGAAGTATGATTCCAGTGAAAGAAAAAAAGTGAGTTTTGAACTTACCACCACGACCGAGATTCTGAGCAGGAACGTCTTTCCAATGCGAGACTTTGGCACTTTGCATTGGTCGCTGATTGGCTGCGGGGTTTCCCCACAAACTTGTACCGTCATCGTAATTAGGCATATTCCTACGTTGAGTGGGAGGTGAAGGTTCTTCCCAACCGGAGGGCTTGCCGCCTTGCATCATGTCCTTGGGAGGCTGCGCTGACCACTGATTCATGCTTGGTGGTGTCAGCATCTTTGTCGGCGGGCCACTTGGATGCTGATGGCCCGGAATCTGGTGGTGCGGTGGACCTAAATTAAGATGAATACCATCGTTAATAGTTATATCTTAGATTGGCGATTTCTAGACGACTAATCAAAATATCTGTAAACGCACCTGGTGGTTGGTTCCACATAGCATCAGCACCGGCACCATTGAGTCTACCGGATATACCACCCCGAGGATCACCACGAATCTCGCCTGACATGCGTGGATCACGACTCATAGGGTCAATCACGCGCATATGTTGTTCGCGTGGGTCGAGCGACATGCGATGGTCGCGCGGAATAGCACCGCGCATTTCTCGCGGATCGACCGAGCGGATTTCACGTGGATCACGTGGATCAACTCGTGGATCACCCCAATTGGAACCTGCTTCATTTAAGAAAGAAAGATAATTTAGCACACAGATTAATACATTGTAAAAGTATACATACAAGAGAAGCGTAAATTCGTCGGCAAACATGGAGCTGAAGCCTTTGTGAGTGCTAAGCTTTTTATAAATACATGTATATATATACTTTGCGAATCACGATGTTGGGAAGCAATCGAGTATTAAATGCGAGATTTGACAAGTTACGATAATTTTGAGAAAATTTTTTCGAATGTTACTCCTTCAGAATCGAATGGTCTATTAGATGTGCGGAAAACTGCGAGTTGGAGACAAATTTAATATACGAATATTCAAGCATCAAGAGACTTGCACCATTATGCATAATATTGAAAGATTTTCTTTTTAAATCCGTCATCATACTATTCAAATAGCTAGCGCAGCGATGAAAATTATTTAAATAAGATGGTATTTTGCATTGGAAATGCTGCTAATTAATGATAATCGAATCTCGATTTCAAATTCAATGTTAAAGCATAAACTCGATGCCCTATTGCATTATTATACATCGAATAAATTGCATGTTATGCAGGCGTCAGCGTTCATTGAACCAATTTGGTATCTAAATAATTCGCGAATTGAGCTAGCTAGCGCAATGCTATCAATAAATGAATGAAGCAAAAATATTTTTAATTTAACGCATAGAAAGCAGAACAAATTTTTCTGGTTTCACGGCCATAAGCATAAAAATATCTCTCCGAAGTAAATAGAAAAAAACTGGTACAGGTAAATAAAAGAAAGTGGTAAGCGAATTAGACAAGATTGTGTGTTCATAGGCTCTCACAAAGCCTCCGTACCTCCGGTCGGTGGGGCGGGTGCATTCCACATACCGGTCTGGTTGGCGGAATTGGCACCAGGCCATGGTGCTGCATTGGGTTGACTTGGTGCTGGAGCACCGGTCCACATATTGGATGTGTCAGCGCTGTCATCATCTTCACCCCATGTACCACCAATATTAGTTGATGGGGTATGGCCCCATGGTGCTTTTGCTTGTTGCGGTGGCGGTTGACCGCCGTTACGAAGATTCGTTTCCCAGAGATCTGTGCCGTTGTTTACCGGCGGCTTCCACATTGGTGCGTCCTTGTTCATGATTGGCTCTGGGGATGCTGGTACATCCCAGCTGGTATCCTGATTTACGTGTTGCTGTAATATTTTTCAAAATTAAATTCATATTGCACAATTGTTGTCGCATAGTCAATTAAACTAACGTTCACCATTGACAAATAATCTTAATTTATTTTGACAAATTTACTTCTAGACGAAACGTTAAATGCAGCATGTTAGCTCATCTAGATTCCTAAAGTTAGTTTATAATTGTACATTTATGAATACATGTGTAATGCAAATCTATCAAGACTTAAAAGATAAGTTTGGAAGATAAGTAAAAAAAAATAAAAAGAAATGACAATGAAATTTTGAAAGTTAATGTTAAAATTTGACCACCTGATTTTTTATTTTCTTTCGAATCTAAATGTAATTTCAAGTAAAGTAATATGTAGCAACCAATGTAAGTGACAATGAACAAGTAATTGATAAAGTGAAAAATACTTACGCAACCCCAACCATCAGGACTGAAAAGAACCTCCCTCATGGTATTCAGCTGCTCAAGTTGTTGCTTGGCCGAAGGATTATTTGTAGTTGGAGTTGAGGCAGTGCTCGCAGGCCCTCCTTGGCCAGGATTGTTCATCTGGGGATTGTTATTACCACCAGCTTGCTGCTGATTGGACTGCTGCTGTGGTTGACCTGATTGTTGTTGAGGTGATTGCTGTTGCTGTTGTTGTTGCTGCTGAGCAGATACACTTTGTCCGTTGTTGTTTTGGCCTTGATTACCATTTGGTCCTGGAGCGTTAGTGGGTTTGCTACTGTTCTGTGACCATTGGCCTGTGTTACCGGTGCCTCCACCATTGCCTTGATTTGGTTGAGATTGGTTGTTCGGTTGGGACGTTGGTGGTCCAGATTGTACGTTTGATCCTGCAAAAGAGAAGATAATGAGTTTAACTTGTGAAGTTCGATTACAAATGTTGATATCAAAAGAGTACTAAAGTTTACCTTGATTATTTTGTGGTCCAGGTGGGCCCTGGCCCTGGTTAGGGTTCTGACTGCCCATGTTCCTGGGTCCAGTGACGCTCTGCCAGTTTCCGGGTGGCGGACCAGCTTGTCCCTGGGGCTGCTGATTGCCAGGAGAAGCGTTGTTACCACCAGCGCCAGTGCCACCACTGGCGCCGTTATTGCCGGGCGTGCCCCATCCGGACTGTGCCTGATTGTTATTATTGGTAGTGGTTGGCTGAGCTTGTGCCCAACTAGCTGTGGCGCTACTGTTGAGCGAGCTCTCGCCACCGCCGAGGAGACAGAGGTACGGGGCGATGCCCCAACGTCGCTTGTAGTCGAGGATCTGTTGGTAGCTGGACTTGACAGTAAACAAAATGCCAAGGGCCTCCCTCAGTCTGTCGAGGCTGTTTGCCTGACGTCTCGCCAAGTAGTCGGCCAGGAAACCCCTGCAGTCTTGCACGAGTTCGGATAGAACGACACTCATCGCAGGTACAGTTGTCTGATTGCGTCTATTGTTGCAGTTGTAGTGATTGCGGTTTTCATTGTTGTTGACGTCGATAAGCGTAGGAATGTTGTTGTTATCGCTCTTGCAATTAACATAGATGATGTCAGACTTGTTCTTATCGCTAGGCGTAGACTTAGATAGAGACTTAAGTTTATGAATGATCGCTTGCTCTTGGGAGCTCTTAAAGCTAGTGTTTAGAGGCTCGTTAGACTTATTGTTATTATTCTGAAATGAAAGAGCACCAACAGTACACATTGTTGCTTCGGTACAGCTAATACCATCGATTATTCTCCGCGGAGACTTAGCTTCAACTAATGGAACACATAGTCGCGTTTGCTCGGCGCTCTGTTGCGGCTTGTTGGCGCTGCTGCTGCTCTTCTTCTTATTCTTCTTCTCCTGCATCGATATCATTATCATCTTCGTCGCCGTGGCTTGTTGATCGTCGACAACAACTCGACGATCAGCAGCAGTGACGTTAAGCGTAATGGAAGAACTGGCCCAGAGGCTAGCGCCGCCGCTAGAGACGCTCGAGCTGAGCGATATCACAGACTCGGAGTTATTCGGCTTAAAGTAACTTACATGACTAAGCTTAGCCTTAAGGTTGGCGGCCACCACCACGAAGTGGCCACCCTCAGACTTGGGTATCCTAACTAGGCTAGCTCCCGCTCCGCCCATCTCCTCTCCCTCCTTCTTCATCATCATCATCATCATTATCAACTCTTTTTCCATCCACCTTCTCCTCGAGATTAACGTTAAGCTTAGTACCCTAGGGCTTACAATGCTAAAGCTATCCTTATTATCACTTAACGGCTTACACGTAGACTTAGAGCTAGCGGCTTCTTGGCTGGCCGGATGACCATGACGCGGCTGCTGCTGCGTTACTACTGCCAACTTTTGATGATGATGATTATGTTCTGCATTGTTAAGGTGCTGTTGGTTCATTATCACGCCGACTCGGCTTTGCAATCGCTTCGCATGCTGCTCATGCTTCTTAATTTTATTATTCTTATTGTTTTTTGCATTATTGTTGTTGTTGCTGCTACTGCTGTGGTTGATGACGATTGAGTGGCAGCTTGCCAAGCTTGCAAGCATGGCTGTCGCTGATGATGATGTTGAGACTACTGCTGCCGATTGAGCCGAAGACGAGCGCACACCGGCCGAGCCGAGCTCACCTACAAAGCATCAATAACACAATTAGCTATTGGCTCTACTTTTAATTCTTGCTTTCTAATCTTTGCATCGAAGTATTAAAAAATCGTTTTAAAAACAATGAAATTACAAAAATCTTACGCGTCTTCAAACTAATAATTGCCTAATACTTTGCGAAAGTAGCCATGAAAAAGTATTAAAAGTAATTTTGGAATAAAAAATTATACTCTACACACTACGCGGAAAGATTATTTTTATCAGTGTTGTTCACTGTACAAGCAGCATGCTCTCTGCCTCGCGTCCAAAATAGATGCAACCGTACGATAATAGATCTCTCCCTACTTAAAAATAAAGTATCCCGTCAGCTTTAGAGTAACGTTCCCAAACTAAAAAAGCAGTTCTATTACTGATTGAAAAAAAGGCAATAAGGCAAACGACAGATAAAATAAGTGACGCGAATATACGGCTGACTATCAATTCATGCAATATATTCATCTCAGCCTCTTGTCTTTAGAAAAAAATACCACGATTCGTACCAAGAGTGATATTTTGTACGAATTAACGTGATAGAATTATTATTTATTTATAAACGCAAGCGAAAGGAATGGAAGGATGGCATTGTACCAGAATGGCGTGACAGGACGGTTGAGAAGTCATTGGCGGCGGTAGCTTCGGGGTGGCTGGTAGGTGCTGCCATCGTGTTGCTGCTGTTTATGAATTCGATATCACAGTACCCAGCGTCTTCTGGTCCTTTCCCCTCCCCCACCCCACTCAGACTGCTTCCCTCTAATACTAATACATCCCCCTACGAGAGAAAAAAAACAAAGTGTCATTCTTGTATTCTCATGAATTTCATTTTCGTTCGTATCAGTTGAAAAGACATATTTCTCTTACCTTGGAATTTTGTACGAAGGCATTTGTTTCGGTAGAAATCTCATGTGAACTAGAATTGTGTGGAAACATTGGGCTCAGTTCTTCTTTGGCAGGCAATGCATAGAAACCAAGATCTGCAAAATTGATAATCATTAAGTAGAAAGCAGACGAGTTTATGACTTTGCTAAAAAATGTTTTTCAAGATATTACCTTGTGAATTATCGCTGTCAGTGCACTCCTAGCTCCATGCCAGTAGAGATCTGGAAAAAGAACACAAAAACTGCATTATAATAAAAAAAAATACTTATTCGAATCGTTCTCGCGGAAACTTATATATGTATGTAATTAAAATTCTCAAAGAATGCCTCGTCAAGTGTATATTATGTGTGCCGGCTCAACAATAAAAATTCCACAATACAATCAACTCGGAAATGGATCGTAAAAAAATTATAAAGACATACGCTCGTAACATGTCGATCAGATGAAAAAAGATAAGCACAGTTTTCGCCAATCCAGACGCGACAATGTGTCTGTACATGTACGTTCCCTTTGCAAGTAGTACAGTTGCACCGAGCATACAAACAAAACGTACATGCTCCCCAAACTCGTGAACGTCGAAGAAAGAAAAGAAAACGAGAGCGAATTCAAGGTCCGAGGGTTACTTGCTTGCTTCAGCTAAGGGGGAAGAAAAGCGCGCGCGCGAACAAACTCCAGGTGTCTCTTTCCCCTCAGGTATGGATGATGTATCGTGTATACAATGTATTCGAGAAAATAAAAAAAAGAGGGGGATGCTTTTGCTCGCCTGCCGTTTGCATGCTTTTTCTTATTGGCTGAGTAATATTGCGTCTCATTTTTTACAATGTTATTCGAAAAATTAATATCATCGCAATGTGCAGAGGAATTGGTTGATTAGAGGGAATGTTTTTTTAAATGAAAATTGCTGAAGATATCACGAGCATTTTGACATTCACGGGATACTAAAACCAACTATTTCCGAAGCCTCGTTATTATCTGTACAAATTGTCAACTTACAATACTATTGCACACTACTTGTCGATCAACATTTCGTTCCACAATCGTACATCCCATGCAGTGAAGCTCATATTAAAAAAATCGTATTGCTTATGAATTCGATAAAAATGGTATAATGATTTTCACAAAAGGCAACTATCAAGATTGGCCTACGAAAACTCGGCGTCACGTTGTTATACACAAAAAAAGATTCCAATACTGGAGGGGCCAATGAGAGCGACAAGGCTTCACCGGGTCTCGACTCATAAGCTAATCTCCGTAAAGCCGTGTGCATTATGCGTGCCAATGTGCAGCGGAAGCGAGTCTACATCACTCGCCCTCTCCGCACATTACGTTTGATTCTTTTTTTATTCGCTCGATTAAGGTGAATCTGCAGTCGCGAGGCTTTTGCAGATTTCAATGCTTCGCCAGAATAATTTGGTTTTTTTTCTTCTATTTTTGATCTTTTTCTGTCTGTGTGGTATTGATAACTGAAATATTAAGTTACTAGCTATGTCGATAGGCATAGATTATTTTATTTTTTTGCTTTTTAAAATTAACCACTTCGCATTGTATTTCTTAATAACGAATTGTGTTATTCGAGGAATTTTTAGCTCGACTTTCACTGAAACGGGCTAATAAAAAATTAATTGTATTGCACTCTCTTAGTAAGGCTAATTGAATTTCAGCTTTCCGAACTACGCACTACTTTTATTTACCTACAAGCTCAATGCAAATTTAAGTGTCAAAAATTATTTACTCAAGGATGTCTCAACCATTCTAAATTATCCGCGATTTTGCATGCTCCACTTTGAGGTACAATGACAGCAATTTACCCGTCAAAATAATAACTATGCTATTCGGCGCATTCGTATTTTCAACAGAAGAAAAAATTTATATTATTTCGTCGTGGACAGTGTATTTTCGTTTAGAGATAATTTATCCACCGAGAAATACTAAAAAACGTAGTAAACGCCCGATATATACGCTGTACTACTCACAGCACTGGCCTGGTCGACGTAACAGATTGAGTTTCAGCCTTTCAAACTATACTTTGAGAGCGCGGCGCACGCACACGCACACGCGCGCGCACACACACACACACACACACACACACACTCTCTCACGCGCGCGCGCGCATACACCACACAACCATACTCTTTCACTCTTAACATTCTAAGCTACCTTGTTGGCTCGCTCGTGTGCGCCCAATTGTATGTAAATCTCCTATCGAAATTTACCGAATTTTTACGTTGTAAATTCTTTAGAAATAAGCTATATCCAATCTAAATGTCTACACACTCAGTATACAGGCGCACGCACACTTGACAAGAAATTCCAAGGAGTAGCGAAAAATTATACGTTTTCGCGAATACATTTTCAACGGCGACGACAACTACGCTATCTTCTACGCCTGCCTCTCTCACTCACTTACTCTTTTTCGATAAAAGAAACTTGTGAAACGAGTGCGAGATAAGGCGCTTTCGACATCCCACATTCACACGCGAGAGAAAGAGAGAGAGAGAGAGAGAGAGAGAGAGAGAGAGAGAGAGAGAGAGAGAGAGAGAGAGAGAGAGCGCACAGGCACGTATACACATACACACACGTACACTTAGTAAGGAGCCCCCGCGAAGCTACGCCACTGTGTAGAGAGCTTGACGAGGAAAAACGGTCTGCTGCTGTCTGATCGATTTCTGTCGGCAAACAATATCGCGATTCCTAGCGTCATTTCGTTAGATAATCAACTCACGGCGACGAAGGCGTAGACGTAGTAGTCGCGCGAGGATGTTAATACAATAGTATTCTTGAGCTGAGTAGAAAAAACCGAATCAGCATCGAGGTACGACGCGAATTCGGACGGACAGCCACGTAAGCGCCATCTCGTAGCTCCTTTCACTCGCAGCAGTCCCGCTCCGCGCACCAACTTGCCTTTTTTACTCTCTACTCGTCACCTGCACACCACTCCACTTTTACACAACGCGACACACACTCTTCGTCGGCCTCGTAAGGCTCTAATTATACAGGAACTAATTCGTTGCTTGTTTCTTTTTTTCATAACCCCGTAGAAGGTGATTATTGAAAACTTACGCTTGATGCCCCGAAGAACAGACAGTCTCTCTATCTCGTATCCCGCGCGGAGTCGCGTCCGCACTGAGCGACTGTGCTTGGCGGCGGCTATTCTCGCCAGCGGTGCTCCTCCCCCTCTCTCTCATTCTCTCTCTCTCTCTCTCTCTCTCTCTCTCTCTCTCTCTCTCTCTCTCTCTCTCTCTCTCTCTCTCTCTCTCTCTCTCTCTCTCTCTCTCTCTCTCTCTCTCTCTCTCTCTCTCTCTCTCTCCCCTCTCTTGAACTTACGCACGCACTATACACTCGATGCTCAGCGCGCGCGCGTGTGTGTGTGTGTACTACAGTGTCTGCGCGAAAAAGAAAAAGAGAGAGAGAGAGCATAGAGAGCAACAATTTGCCGAGTATATAACTGAAGAAGTAGGGGGAGAGTGCTGATTAATTCAACCGAATGGTAACGCACCACTACTTTTTCGTTTTCTGTCTGCTGCACGTGCGATTTTTTGTTGCCTCATTACGCGACTGACATTTTTTCTACTTTAACAATATTGCCGAAATAAGGGAGGTCGTACTCCCGTTTTTTAATGCATTATTATCGAGTCACTTTTTCCTACAATGTTGTGCACAAATATTTATAAACATTCAGCTGTTACCTTGCTCGTTAATAAATACGTTGTTAATAAGATTTTTAGAATGAGTCGAGCAACTGTGCCGTTTATACATATAATTAATGTCAAGAAGATTTTTAATTTTTATGAAATTGAATGATCAATCAGTTGTAAATTCTTCTCCATCGATCCGGTTATTTTTTAAGTTTTCTTGCTCAAAACTCTCATAAAGTTGAGATCGATTAATAAGGGAAGCGCAAGAACTCTTGGTGCATTACGAAATTATAATTGTACACTTTACACGCTACAAAGTTTTCGCCTTGAAACTTGGACCGCCTTGTTAAACAAGCTACTCATGCACATATGTATACCCGATGAACATGTGCGTATCTCCAGAAAAACTACTTTGCAGCAGCGTGTGTATTCTTCTCTAGGTCAACTTGTTATTGAAGATACTATATACTGTATATTAATACTGCAAAAACACTTTTCATCGTGTGTGCATCATATTACCACAGCCCGAGTTGCTCGCACTAAAGAGCATATTCGCGCCATCTTATTCTTGTCTACGTATCGTATTTCGTGCCATGCACAACTCACTATTATGATACAAAGAACGAACTTTTTTCTGCAAAGTATAAAATAATGATACTTGTATCTTTTTTTCATTGCGTATAAGCATCTTTTATTATATTATTATGATTATTACCATGCTGTCGTCGGTGGTAAACAAATATACCGTTTCATTACTTGGTCACCCTTAGTGCTTCCAAGCCGATCTTTTATTTATAAAACCCTCTTTTATCCAACCCATCATAGTTTTCATAAATATACAACACATCTTATTTGCATACTAACATCCCGCAGCATGTGCATTTTTCTTGATAGAGTACTGACTTGAACAAGAAAATGGGACACAAAGTCCAAACACCATCGACTGATGCTGCCAAATCGAATAAGATATTATAAACAAGGGTGTACCGTAGTTTCCGCACAAGTGTTAGAGAGAGACAGAGAGAGAGAGAGAGAGAGAGGCCCCGACATCGGAAATTATTGATCGCGACACTCGCCTCGATGTATATACGTGTGTACTTTTTACGAAGTGGATATATAGACTGGCATTAGCCGAGGACGGTGCGGTGTGTATAGCATGCATCGGATGAAGACAACTTTGTGGACAACATTGTCATTCGGAGCTACGATTATTTGAATGGTGGTGACAATGCGTGCATTGATAAAGGTTGCATCGGCCTTTTTTCCCGTCGCAATCCACGAGATCCATGAGAGTCCTTTTTTGGACTTGTTGCACGAAAAAAAAAACTTTGTTCTACGTGAAAATCGATGCGCGAGAAAATCCATCAATAAAGAGACTATTTGATTGTAGGTACGTATGTACCGTACGCGTATAAAGGCAGTTTGCGCGTATATTCCTTCCGAATCTAGTTCACGTGCTGTTTTATATTCCCTTTGTCCCTGGATCTCATCCCCCTCCCCTTTCTTTCCTGCTCTCCCTTGAATTTTCTCTCGAGTTTGCTCTGATTCTTTCATAATGGTTTGGGTTCTTTATTGAATCGAACGATCTCTTTTTTTCTTTTTTTTTCGATGCTCGATTACCTTACGGGAGGTTTGAGCCGTGCTATAGATAGATGTTTTTTTATCTTGATCCAACGTCCGTTCGAATTTCCTACCGGACGAGAATACGTGTACGCGCGGAGGGAAAACTAAAGTTGCAAAAAATCGAATTTTTTAAAGACTTGGTAAATAAATATGGACGACTGCGGTAACGCATCTGTTATAAATTATAATCAACACCAGCTTCATGATTAAGAAAATACCCCACGTACTCGAATAAACAGCACTTGCGTACGTATGTAGTATTGTATACGTCTACTTTATATAGCCATTCGCTTTCTCCGCTCTATTATCCCTTTTTATCATCGCGCACCCCTCGTTCTCTCTCTCTCTCTCTCTTTTTCTCTCGGACCTTTTTTCAAACGCGCTGACCTCCTTATATATACGCGTGTCTGCATTTCCCAGGTTTCCCTCCTTTTTCCTTTGATTCACATATAACAACGACATTTTATTCCTTCTTAATCTCTATATTCATATAATTATTACGTTTAGATATAGACAAGTTTTCTGGTGAGTATATGTACATGGATTGATGATGGTTTACACCTGCATATGACAATGTCGATACTTCAGTACAAGGTGTAAAGTGATGATAGGTGAATCGACTTGTGAGATATTTATTTGATAGATGTGGACGATTTGGGATTTACGTGAATAATGTACGATAAAAAGTAGGCAATAAAGTGGCCCAGAGATAAAAATAGATAGAAAGGAAGGTGCGGAAGGATAAAAGTTTACCCATTAGCTTTCGTAAACAACATCACTTTTTGTGTACGAATAGATTTTCCGAATCAAGTTGCTATTATAACTGATGATTAATTCATTGACGAATACGATAAAACTTTTATATTTGAGTATTTGTCAACGACCACCGAGTGAAAAATATCAAGGCTTCTGTTAGTCCAACTAAGTTTCACTGAAAGTTTGTCCATTCAATGAGAGAAAGAGAAAGAGCTGTAATTAAAGCCAAGAAAAAACTAAAGAGTGACATTTCGGTGGTGCGATCGTAAATCGAAACCAAGTTGATCCATTCAGCAACTGCAGATTTCATTAGAATTAATCGTCATTCATCGTAGGCAAATCGATTGCAATGTCAGTAGTTGCGCGTGCGTTCACTTTACTTTGCAAGCTCGTCGCTTCTCTCTCTCTCTCTCTCTCTCGACAACGAACAACGCGGCTGTAAAAAGAAAGCAGCTCGCGCGTCCCTTGGTACAACTACTACCAGTGTCGGAGCTGCACAAGCGCCAGAAATCGATCCAGCGGGTGGCGACGGCAACAGGAGGGAGGCCACCACCAGTGTCGAGGAGGAGACAGGGTCTCGTGTCGCGCTTACGTCCTTTTTCGGTATCTGTATGCTGTTGCTGGGTGCAAAAATATTCTTTCCGTTTTTACTATTTCACAATTCGATATACGATACATTAAACATACAAATCGTCGGATCAACAAGTTGTTCCTTTTCAGAAATAATATGCAATGAGCTTTACTCGACCATTTTTTTTTTCTCGAAATTAACAGGAAATCGAATTTTAGATTCCAATTGCAATAAGAAAATTATGCGAGTGATAATGAAAATCCAGGAGGAGTACATTGCTTGCCGACGAGAAATTGTAGGTCAAAGGAAGGTCATCTGTGGGCAAACATAATTTTCGATGTTGGCGTGGAACACAACACACGCGCGCGAGAGCGTACTTGGTCGGCTCATGCACACGTTAAAACCACGTGCTCCGTAATGAAAGGACGCTTTTCGCGAGTGTAAGCAAACCAGTCATTCTCCGCATTGCTTGCGCGCCTATTCCTTTCATTAATTTTAAATTGCGCTCTGCCTTCCGATGTATTTGCTTGTTTGTTTGCCTCTGTAACCTGGTGCGTTTGCGCTTGGCCAAATTTCCATTGCACAATTTTATTGTTATGACCTATATTACGAGTTGTGCGTTGATATTATTTGGTATTTTTGCGGTCTACGAGTGCGATAATACTGCTCTCGGAAAACTTTATGGTATTATGCTTTATTACTTTTTGACCCGTCGACAGACACCTACCCCAGTTAAGAAAGTGATTATAAGGACTTTTGGTGTCGTGGATAACAAATCTTAAATCAAATTACGGATATGGAAAAAAATATTTCTACAACAAAATATGTAATTTTTTTATAAACAAGCGAAAGAGCATTTTATTAAACACGTATTATAAAGATACACATGAAGTGTATATATCTAAAAAATATTTCGTCCACGCCATGGAAAAACTCGACTTAGTTCTAATGAAAAAAAAGCAATGTTTTTTCGCTTACATACAAGACTTTAGACAGAACAACATTTCTTAAAGTTGCTGACTTTAAAAAATAATGTTCAGTCAAAAAAACGTCCGAGTGTATGAACGCATTAATTTTGTTTGAAATTACGCTAATTTTCAAACGCTTTCGACGGTGATTGTGACAAATCTTGATAGAATTGCTATCGATTCTTAATGAAGCAATTGAACCGAACTAAGCTAAGAAAATCAACCCAGTCGTATATTTCAATGCTGCTTTGAATGTTTTTAATATTTTGTTGGTTTTAATTAAAGGTAATCGTTGTTTTTAATAAAAAGACTGATCGTTTGGATATTTCCTAATGAGTGTAAGCTACAAATATGCAAGTCTTGAACGATAAAAAAAATAAAGGCAACACGCATCCTCTTTGGAATCAGCGAATATAAAGCATCTAATTTTTCTCAAAATCACACAATCATATCTCGCTCTGTTTCTTGCACTGACTATTACGTAACGCGAATAACAACGACGGCATGGAATTCTGCCCCTCCTGTTGTCGCGTTTCCCAGCCAATTTCATTGTATTTATCTC